CAAACTGCCACTTGTCATTACCTGCTGTCAGAACCGACTCAGCCGACTCTCCAGCAAGTTTTCAGAGACTGTAAATCACACGGGGGAGACTGTTCATCTTTCTTCTGTGAAGCACCACCCAGGTCCTTAAGTTTGTTGTTGTTACAATGCTGTCAAGTCAGAACCGACTCCTGAGTGACATGTAAATTGCACGGGAGGAGACTGCCCATCTTTCTCCTTCAGTGAAGCTGGTGGACTCAAACTGCCTGCCTTTGGGTTGGCAGTGCTACTCCTTAACCACTAGGCCACCAGAGCTGCCTTGACAGCTACAAAGGACAAAAGGAAGGTTGTGCCAGTCATGAGAGCAACAAAAACAGCCTGGATCATGCTCTGGGCTCAAGAAGGACTACATGAAGAAGACACAGTTAACAGACACCCGAATAAATTTTCCACACTTGTTATCAAGTGCCTCCACATCAAGTGCGACCCATCATGATCCTATGAACAACAGATCTGAACCCTGTCCTGTTCTGGTCCATCTTCATAGACTTCTTAAGCACTAGAGCCCACTGCAGCAGCCACTGTGTCAATCCACTGGTCAAAGGTCTTCTCCTCCTTCGTCAACCCTCCACCCTTCCCGGCATCATGTCCCTCTCCAAGGAATAGCCCCCTCCTAGCAACACAATCAGACCCTCCCCAAGACATATTTGTTCTTTGGCAATGCATGGGATGTTCAGTGCTCTTCTCCAACACCACAGCTCAAAGGCTGTGTCATCCTTATTCACTGACCAGCTCTCAGATGCACAGCAAGTGACTGGAAAGATTACTGCCTGAGGCAGAGGCACCTTAGTCCTTAAACTGACATCATTCCTCTTCAACAATTTGAAGAGGTCACTAACTGCAGATTTTTCCGCACTTGAGAATAAAGTTATACAACTGATGGAGAATGTAAAGACAAATTAGGTATAAGTATTGCCAAACAGAAGTCCCTGGGTGATACAAATAGCCAATGCACTCAATTGTTAACCCAAAGGTTAAAGGTTCAAATCTACCCAGAAAAACTTTGGAGGAAGACTTGACTGTCTACTTCTGGAAAAGGCTTCACTGACAGTTCTTCAGTACACAGTTCTTCCATGACACACGCGGGGAGTCAGCATCAACTCGACAGTGACTGGTGTACCGCAGCACATGAAAGCACAACAAGGCAAAATAAAGGTCTATATTTAACTCCAGGAAAAACAGGGTTGTACAGGAAAGGAAAAGTAATCATGGGATATGACATAGCTCAGGTATCAATAGCATTTGAATACTCAAAAAGGAAAAAAAAAGTATACACTAACTACTGGCCTAATGAGGATGTGGATTTTACAGAAAGATTTGAAGAGAAAGACAGAACGAGAGAGTAAGCACATGTGGGTGTGAGAACCGGAGAGAGGAGGGATGAATGAGTGGCTGCACAGTGTAAGTGGGTTACTTAGTATGAATTTTCTAGCTATTGTCTTCATAACTCCCAGCACATGACTTGGGGGAGGGTTGTTATGTACGACTGAGTCAGAACCAACCCAAAGCTGACTCTCCAGCAGGTGTCAGAGCAAGTAAATCACGCAGGAGACTACCCATATTTTCCTGCAGGACAGCTGGTGGATCCAAGCCACATGCCTTTCACGACAGGGTAGAACTATGCAAATGTGAGGTATCTGTGGTCCATCAAGGGATGTGAGGGAGCTCCAGTGGTCTAGTGGGTAAGGAGATATGCTACCAACCCAAAGACATGCAGTTCAAATCCACCAGCTGCTCTGCAGGAGAAAGATGGGCAGTCTCCTCCCATGCAGTTTATAGTCTCTGAAAACTCGCTGGATGATCAGCTATGAGTTGGTTCCAACTCAACAGCCATGCATTGGGCTTTTAGTACTTATAACCTTCTAACTCATTATACAGTTTACTTATTTTATAGTCTAGTCTTCACACTTAGGTAGTTCAATGAGACAGGTCTTTATCTTCTTCTTTTTGGTATACCAGCATTTAGGAATTTATTATAAAGTCTGCCATATAATAGGGACTCCATATATATTTTTCATTCATGAATAAATGAGTATCAGGTAAGAAACAGTTTGGTTGGGATAGTGAAGAACATCGAAATGCCATATGACCCAGCTATTCCACTGCTAGGGATATACCTCAAGGAAAAGAGAACTGAGATATAAACAGGGATTAGTACATCTACAGATTTGTTCACAGCAGCATCACTCACAAGAACAAGAGAACGGAAACAGTCCAAATGTCCATCAACAAACAGCTGGATTGAGAGACTGTGGTACATTCACACAATGGAATACTATGCAGCACTCAGGAGCAATGATTTAACAGGGGAGAGGCTAGAGAGCATTATGCTGTGTGAACTAACTCAGGTGCATTAGGACAAATACTGCATAAGACCATTACTGTAAAAATAGAAGGATACTTGAGCAAGATGTGTATAAACGTCCAAAGAGGTAAGGGGAGAGGACAGGAGGGCTGTGGAGGGGAAATCCCTGGGATGACAGAGTTTGGTGGGTGGAGAAAGGGTGTCAAGGAATTAGGAAAGATCCAGTGGGGATCTGAAAAGACAGCATAGTAGTGGGCATAGATCAACGCCCATAGATGAAGAAAATACTTCTAGAAGGCACAATTATTTTTTAAAAAGTTCATTTTTATGCCATTAAATATAATGAATGACTGTATAAAAGACAATTTAAAAAAGGGGAGGGAAGTAATAGGAAATTGCAACCACTGAAAGAATATATCACATTATTTTACTAGAGAGAAAAAAAGGACAGAAGAGGGTCTCGAAAGAGAAGTTTATAAGACTATTACATTGCAGAAAATTCAGGCAAGATGAAGAGAAGCCAGTGGGCTTGGTGATGTGGTCACTGGCCACATTTGTTGGGACAATTTTATTAGAACAAGGTGCAGGGTTGGGCCACAGAGCCTTCAAGCTCAGGCTAAGGAGCAAAGGGGTTGTGGGGAACGTGAGAAAACAGCAAATACAGCCTGCTCTTCAGGGAGTAAATGAGAAAGGAGACAGATGAAGGGAGAAGGGAGAAAGAAAAACAAATGTAGGAGCAATAACAATAACAGCAACATCACCGGTCACGTTCATTACTAAGTAACACATCAAGTACTCTTCAGGAGGGTTTACAACATGAACTCAGGCAATCTTCACCAAGAGCCCAGGAAGCACGTGGCATTACTATTCCCACTTTAGAGAGAAAGATAATGATGGACAGAGGGTGAGGTAACTGATTAAGTTACTTAAGGATTCACATCCAACGAGTCTGGCTTCAAAACAAAGTCATGGGCAAGCCCACTCTGCTTATAAACTGGGACAGAGTCATTAGAGTGAGACGTTGATGAGATGTCAAGCCTTAGAAAGGACTGGCACAGGAGCACCGGCAAATAGGTTTGTTTACGGTGACCGGGGCTCGTGTCCCAGTGAAACAGGACAGCAAGGACGGGCAATGCATGTGCCAGGGTAGAGTCCAAGGAATACTCACTGTCAGAGGCTCTGATTTTAATGGCGTGCATCGTGAGTGAGCTGAGCAGGGCTTGACATGAGAAGTGGTGTCATCAGCACTAAAACTTGAACAGAAATGGGTTAGGTAAACAGGAGGGGCAGTCACTGACCGCTCAGGCCTGTGGGCAGGAAGTCCCAGGCATACGGTGAAGCTGGGTAGTGGTCTGATACACTTCTGGGGCTGCTCAGATCTTAGGCACAGGCACCATGACCATGGCTGGTGGAGTTGGTGGAGCAGTAGGAAGGGGCCCTGGGGATTCGTAGAGCTGGGAGGAGTGGGGCTGACCTGGCAAGTCCGGAGGTCCCCAAGGCAGGATCCATACCCTGTACTGCGACGAGGACCGGCAGTCAGAGCCTCCCTCTACTGCGGGCAGCTGAGGGCTATGGGCAGAGGCCAAGGGCTTGGCCCCTGTGGTGAACACAGAGCCAATGAGGGGCTCCCAGGAGAAGCAGGGTAAAGCAAGGTGCAGCCACTGCCTGGAAGCTCAACATGAAGGACCGGCAGTGAGTGGGGAGAAGGGGGCTTGAGGGACACCTCGGTGAATCTGGCCACTTGGCTCACGGGGCGAAACGGGTATGTGCAAGCAACTCAGAAGAAAGGAGCAGGGGACCCAGGGCCCTGGGAATGGAGGTGCTAGGAGAGACCTCCCTGAGGAGCAAAGTCTAAGAGCTAAGTCAGGGACGCTGAGTGGACACAGGGTCCTTGCTCAAGGTGGTTACAAGTAGTTCTCAAAGCAAAAGTCAAGAGCCTAAATAAAGGATTAACTGGGTAATTGTTCCAATTTGAGGAATCAGGAAGATTACATCTAAATCTATGGGATTTGAAATTATTGTAAATTTCGTAAATCTCATTTTAATGGGTTTCCATTTCCTTTATTAAATTTTCATACAGAGACTGAAGGTTTGATAGAAGTATGAATTTATTGACATCAATTTCCTTAAGCTATTATTCTAACACAGGGGGACTGAAGAGCTGAAGACAATGATAATAAACCCACAAGATCTGAAAATCCACAAAACCCACCTTCTCCCTCTCAGAGAGGGGGAGAGAGAGAGAGGAGGAGGAGGAAGTTCTTGAAAATAATCTGAAGACTGCTTTCAATTACAGCAGGGAGGAATGACAATTCGACAATGCAAGCCTTTTATCTGAAACATCGTCCATACATACCAAATTCATTACCATATAATTGAGTTTTGAAAATATACAAAAATCTCTGTTGTTCTTACACACCGAAATGAAACCCTAATTTTAAAAAGTGCACAGTAAAAACAGCTCAAGGAAACCTACAATATGCATGGTATGTATACTGTTTTCCACTTGACTGTCCACATCGAAGTCTAGATTTGCTCACACAACCTGTCAAGGTTTTGAAGCCACGGACCATACTGACCAGTGCACCAGGCCCACCACCCGCAGCCTCCCGCAGGCCGAGGCCGGCCGGGCCACGGAGTCTCAGCCGGCGGCTGCAGCAGCTCTGAGAACGGTCACCAATCAGCCATTTGCAAGCTATCGGCTCTTGCTCTTCTTGGAATTTCCCTGTGCAGAGAGAAATGCCAACAATGAGAACACAAACTTCCAGAAAAAGAGCTGTCATCATTTATAAATTAAGCTGTCCAGAAAACGTATTTCACTTCTATGTGGGAGGAAGAGCTGATAAAACTTGGCTGGCTGGTGTTTCTCCCATTATCACAGGACAAAGCGGTGTTTTAAATCTCCCATGGCATAATCCCCCAGGCCCGACCCTCCTGGGTGCTGAGGGTAGGTGATAAAGAAAATAAAACTATTGTCACAGATTTATCAAAACAACTTCATTAATTTTGTTCCCAAGGGGGTTTAAGACATCAAGAAGTTGAAGAAGAAACTTTTAGCTCAAATGTGTGTCTCTGTTGTTTAATAAACACCTTCCAAGGCTGTTCTGGTGGACATCACTCATATGTTCCGTGTTATACCAGTCACTCCGTGGGGGGGGGGGGGCTGCTTCTCCTGGAAGGGCGCACAGCCTTGGAAACCAGCGGGGGGTCGCTGACCTGACAAGAGGTTTGGGTTTTGGTTCAAGGTCTTAATTCAATCCAATTCCCTCACCTTTGTAGAACTGGACTTTCCAGCTTTGCTGGAGAAGTTCACTTCTGAGAAAAGCATTCTAAGCCAATGTCTCCACTTCACAATCAGGGAGGAGCACAGTTTCTTTATGTTAACTGCGATGTGCTTGCAGAGACAAACATGAACAGCAACACAACACAAATGAGAGGCTCAGGATGTTTACGTGGTATCCAGCAGAGACACTGCCAGCTCAGGCATGTTACGCTGTGCCGTCAGGAGACTGAGACTCACGGTGACCGTGTGAACAACGGCTCTGAGCTCTGCTCTCTCCTGAGCCATTTTCACCCTATTGCCACAGTCACAGGGTCAATCCATCTCTTCCAGGGTGTTCCTGTTCTGCGCTGACCAATCCTTCCAAAATTCTGTCCTTCTCCAAGGACTAGTCCCTTCCGGCAACATGCACGAGGCACGTCAAATCGGAACCGACTCAGAGCTGACCCTCCCCTGGATTTCGGAGGCTGTAAGTCATGTGGGAGGAGAGCGCTCATCTTTCCTCCCTTGGAGCTGCTGGTGGATTCGAACCCCCATCGAGGTGTGACCTCTGGGTCTGCAGCACATCTCCTTGCTGACTATAACACGAGAGCATGCTCACTCCACGAGGGTGGATATGCCAAAAAGCAGCACGGTCCCAAATTCCTGCACGGTATCCAGTTCCTCGAGGTCAAATTTTTAGCTTAAAGCTTTGTTTTTGATACGAAGACAAACACAATTACAGACCATCTTTTCCCAGCATTTCTCATCTCTGAAGAAGCAGTGTGGCACTGGGCGGGGCTGTCAACCAAACAATGAACTGCTGGAACCCACTGGCCACGTCAGCATTAACTCTGACGACGCACTGAGTTGGGGGTTAAAGCTCCTAAACTTTTGCTCCTGAAATATAAGATCTTATGATCAGATTCCAAAACCTCGAGCCCTGGTGGCTTAGTGTATAATGTATGCAGGCTGCTAACCGAAAAGCCAGCTGTTTAGACCCCGCGTCACACTGCAGAGGACGGACGGTCTAAGCCTGTGTCGGGCCCACTCCTCGGGGACCCCCCTGCCCTCACGCACCTTGCCGGACATCTTCAGGGTGTCGATCTCCTCTCTCTGCTTGGACAGCGTCTCGTTCATGCTGCACAGGTGGTCGCTCATCATGCTCAGCTGATCCTCGTAACTCCGCTTGGTCGTGGTCAGCTCGTCCTGGGTCACAAGGGGAGGGGGGAGGAGGGAGCACAGAGACACGCTGAAGCACCACTACTCACACCATTCCGAAAGGTTTTTATTTCTTTAAAAAAAAATAAGTAAGAATTTGGAAATGTTTATCAGGATCACCTATGTCATCACCTATGAGAGGTTAAGGTACAGGCTTAATAAGGGAACAAACTAAAAGAAAGGGGGCAAATGCTTTTCTCTGCCTTCAAAATACGTCCTAAATGTCTTTGCAGAAACCTAAGGGCTTCTTTTTGGATTCCATATACAACTGTCATAAAAAAATGAGCATACTGGTCATCCTTCTAGATCTCCTCGTATCTTCCTGGACTGCAGGTGATGGGAGGAAGTCTTTCTCTGGCCCCTTCATTCCGAAATCCCACTCCTCAGTGGTCCAACACACTGCAGACCCTCCGCAGGCAGAGAAGTCCCATCGCCTCTGCTCTCTCAGTCCCCTAAGATTCTCCCAGACAATTCTAGACAGTAATGTGAAATGAGGAGAAAGTGGGTGCTACCGGGTGGCTATGATTCTTCTTCGCAGGGCATCTTTGTTACTTAGTGCTCCTGTGACAGAAATATCACAAAAGGGTGCTTCTGACAAACAGAAATGTAGCAATTCAGTTCAGGAAGCCAACTTCACTCAGGTGGCCAATCAGGGGAGGTCTCGTACTGGTGTCGGCCCTGGGCGAAGGCCCTTGACTCTGCTGACCTTCTGCGCCTGGGCAATCGCCACGTGTCCTGGCATCTCTTGACCCACGTGGACTTCATCTCATAGCTCAGAAGCTATTAGCTCAACTGTTCCTATGGTCAACTTCTGTCACAGTATTTCCTATATTAGGTATTTTTACATACTTGCTTTTTAGATGCCTCTAAAGTATCTTATCCTTGGATTTATGGTGCATGGTTTATAGAACCATCCTACAGAAATGGTTTTCTTCCAGCGTGAAATGGTGCGGTTGTTTTCACATTATTTGACTTTGTTGTTAGGTGCCGTTGAGTCAATTATGACTCCTAGTGACCCTGTGAACAGCAGATCTGCACCTTGCCTGATCCTGTACCGTCCTCATCTTCTCTGTCACAGGTGGCCTGCATGGTATGCTGTTCTTTCTGTCTGTCTGTACATCATTGTGTGGTTGTGCGTGTATGTGGTTGTGTCAAAGATTAAGCCCACTACAGAACTCCTGTGGCATTGCTGACTTGGCATCTTACTTATGTAGAGACTGATCACCTGGAACCTCATGGGCGGGCTACCAAAGGGAACACAGATGGATGCCAACGGGCTACGAATGCCTGATTTGCTGAAAACTTCCACTTGCCCTTTAAACTGCTGCTGTCAAGGTTGATAATAAATGAAGACTAGACCAGAAATAGTACAATTAGGTAGATTATAGGGCAAGCAAAAGCTGTTTATTTAATCTCTTTTATATTTCAGAAGTGAGTGACCTGACACATGAGCTCTATACTAATCCTGCCACATTAACATAACAAAGACAATTCATACTCAAACAGGATTATATACTTACACACACTGAGGCCAGGATTTACAACACATGTGTTTGGGGGATTTTATTTTGTTTCCTTTAAGTTGAGATAATCCATACTGAAGGCTGTAGTCTTTGATCTTCTATAGCAAGTGCTTTAAGTGTTTTTCACTTTCTACAAGCAAGACCATGTCATCTGCATAGCACAGGTTGTGGATAAGTTTTCAACTGCAGGCACAGGCAAAAAATAAGCCCCCAGAAATTGAAAGAAAACTAACTGAGGTATGTCGATAGTTGTAGACAGGCTTCAAGCCTTTTGTTCATAGGGTCGCTAGGAGTCATGCTCAACTTGAAGGCAATCAATAATAACAACAAACAAACACATACAGCTCTGGATGTGTTCACCAGTCTCTGCCAATAACACAGAAGACCACCACCTGGCCAATGACTGTAAGAGATGCCTACCTGTTCCCATTTCCAGACAAGGTAGTCCAACCAAGTGTGGAAGTTACCAAACAATATCACATGCAAGTACAACCTTGTTGAAGAGTATTAAATACATCGGCAGGGAACTGCTAGAACTTCAACTTGCATTCAGAAGAGGCTGGTGGCAAAAGGCTAGGTAGCATCGTTGATGTCGGGTGGGTCTTAGTTGAAAGCAGAAAATACCAGAAAGATGTTTACTTGTGTTTTATTTATTATGCAAAGGCATTTGAATTTGTGGATCATAACAAATTATGACTAACATTGACAAGAATAGTAATCCCAGAACACTTAATTGTGCTTATATAAAACCTGCTACACAAGACCAAGAAGATGTAGTGAGAATAGAGCAAGGGAACACAGCATGGTCTAAAATCAAGAAAGGTGGTGTCAGGGCTGGTATCCTTCCTCCACACCTATTCAATCTGCATACTGAGCAAATCATTCAAGAAGCTGGACTTTATGAAGAAGAATGTGGCATCAGGACTGAAGGAAGACTCATCAATAAGTGACTCTTGTCTTCCATCCATCTTCTTTTGATAAATCCTGGATTATTCAGTATCTTACTCACAGAATCCTTCAATACTGCATCTTGAGGCTTAAATTTGTTCTTTAGTTCAAAAAATGCCTGCTGTGATCCTCCCTTGCAGTTTTCTAACTTCAGCTCTTTGCTTTTTGGGCTGCCCTTTGAAATCTTCTGTTCCACTCTCTACTTCTTCCCTTTGCTTTGGCTTCTTCACATTCTAGTACCACTTTCTGGGTCTCTCTGACATTCATTTCAGTCTTTCCTGTCTTTGTAATGATCTTTTGTTTTCCTCATGAATAATATCCATAACGTCAACCCACAACCTGTCTGGATGGATCCACAATCAACACCCCTGGTAGCAATAGTCAAGACAGCAAAAGAAGTGTTACAGTGGCCAAATGTGCTGTCAAGGGCTTCTGCAAAGTGCTAAAGCGCAAGGATATCAGTTTAAAGACTAAGGTGCACCTGATCCAAGCCACAATATTTTCAATTGTTTCTTATGCATCTGAAAGTTGGACAATGAATAAGCAAGACTGAAGAAGAATTGATGGTTTTGAATTGTAGCATTGGAGAAAAGTTCTGAATATTTCATGGACTGCCATAAGAACAAAAGGAAGGATGTGAAATTTCGCCCAATACACGTTGGGCATGTTGTCAAAAGGTGCCAGTCCTTGGAAAAGGACATCATTCTGAGAAAGGTACAAGGGCAGCAGTAGAGAGAAAGACCCTCAATGAAAGGGACTGACTGACGATGTCTGTAATAATGGGCTCACACATGCTGGAGACTGTGAGGATGGAGCAGAACAGGGGTGGGGCCTGTGGGTCACGATGAATAGTGCTTAACTCAACAACTACCAACAATGTCTGGGGGACATAATTCAACCCATAACACCCAGGACATTTCTGTTTAACGAGCACTTCTTGAAAGAGTTTCAAAAGACAGACTTGGCAATCGGCTTCTTTCCTAAACCAGGACAGAGCAATTTTACTCTACACACATGGATCTGCCATGATTCAGAATCGAGTTGAAAACAACTAAGAACAACCAGCTTTTAGGCGAGGTCAGTTGTATAAAGATGGAAACAAACAGGAGAGAGTAATATGTGCAGAATAATCATAGAGTGCTTCATAACAGGCAGTTCAGGAAAGAGGAGGATAAGGAAGGGTTAAGGGAAAATGAGCATTATTGAAGAAAACTGAGTGGACCATGGATTGCTAAGAAAACAAACAGATTCATCCTAGAGAGGGTTAAACCAGGCTGCTCCTTGGAGGCAAGGATTCTGAAGCTTCATCTGACATACTCTGGACATGATGTAAGAAGGGACCAGTCCTTGGAGAGGGATGTCATGCTTAGGAGGGTGGAGGGACAGCACAGGAGAGGGAGACCCTCTATGAGGTGGATTGATTCAGTGACTGGGGTAATCGGGATGGGTGTGTTGGAGATAGTGAGATTGGCACAGGACAGAGCAGAGTTTAAGGCTGTTTTACACAGGGTCGCTATGAGTCGCAATCAACCTTACGGCACATAACAACTTAACAACAACCTATAAAACTATACAAAAGTGATCACCAAGTCAGAGAAGCAAACAATGCAACCAGTTTCTGCCTGATACAAGAAAGACAGTAATTTACACTGAGTCAAAAATAAAGTAGTTAGGGAAAAAACCATGTCGAGAGGGATAGTCTTATTTCATTGAACTATCTTAGCGTGGAGAACAGAAGATAAACAAATAAGTAAAATACATAATAAATAAAATTAGTTTTTAGTTTACAAAGTAAAATAAGATACTTATTTTATAAAAATAAGTAAAATCTAAATCACCTATGGGCTGGTTCAGACTTACTGGAAACAACAGAGGTGGAGTGGCACTACTTTGCAAATGAAAGTCTGGCTTTGCTGGCCAAGTATCTTCAGTAAAAACATACCCTGATGTGGCTTAGGTGACAACCCTCGGGAAGTTACCTGGAGTCTGCTAATGTTCTGGCTGGCCAGCTTCATCTCTTCTGTCAATGCCTCTTTAGACTTTTCGGCCAGGGCCAGCCTTTTAGAGAGCGCTCGGCACTGTGAACAAAGAAAACATTCCATCGCTCAGGAAGGATTTCCTAAAGACAACTTTAAATACTCCAATAAAATGCAGATGTGATCAAAAACATCATTAATACCATCACCCACTGCAGCTGAATTGGTTTCAACCCCTAGGATCTTCCATCAGGTTTCTGATCTATTAATCCGTCCAGGAGACAGTCTGACATTCTCCCACAGAGCAGTTGGCTGATTCAAACTAACAACCTTTCTGCTCACAGTCTGACACATTATGCCCTCCATTATCAAGGTCCTTTCATTATTATCAAACACAAGTGAAATTTTGCTGAAGATACTTCAAAAACAGTTGTGGCAGTACATTGACAAGAGGAATATCAGCGCTGATGTCAGATGGATTCTGGTTGAAAGCAGATTGCATAATAATGTTTCCAGGTTTTATTGACTATGCAAAGGCATCCGTGTGGATCTGAACTAATTATAGACAACCCTGTAAAGAATGGGAACTGTCAAACTTTTAATTTTGTTCATATGATACATAGACCAAGTGGGAGATGTCCCAACACAAGAGGATATTTTGTAGTTTAAAATCAGGAAAGGTTTATTTCAGGGTTGTACTGCTTTACCACACTTATTCAAACTATATCTTGAGCAAATAATCTGATATTGATATGAAGAAGAATATGGCATCAGGACTGTAGGAAGACTCACTGACAACTCAGAATATGCAAATGTACAGCTTTGCTTGCTCAACCAAGGAGACCTGAAGTAGGTGCTGGAGAAGCTCAAAGACTAAAAGTCCTCAACATGGATTACACATCAACATAAAGAAAATAAACTCCTCACAACTAGATCAATCAGCCGCATAATGATAGACACTGAAAACACTGAGTTCAACCAAGTCAAGAAACAAATGATGTACAACATTGGGCAAATCTACTACGAAAGACCTCTGTACAGTGTTAAAAAGCAAAAAGCATTAATCTTGAGAACAAAGGCAAGTAATTTTTCCAGGATTTTCAATGGCTCATAGTTATGTAAAAGCTGGACAATGAGTAACGTAGAAGGAAAGAGAATGGGCTCTTTAAATTATGGTGTTGATACACCAGAAACTGCTAGAAGAATGAAGCAATCTCTCTTGGAAGAAGTACAGCTGATCAGAGGGGTGAGACCTCATCCTGTGTATGCTGGGCCTGTCATCAGATGGGACCAGTTCCCGGAGAAGGACATCAGGTAAAGTAAAAGGTCAGTGAAAACAAGAGCAAACCTGAACAGGAGGGATGGAAAGAGAGGCTACAGACGGGCACAGACATGGATGGCAACAACTGTCAGGATGGCCCAGGACTGGGCGGCATCTTACCCTGTGCTACTCGTGGATGCTGTGTGTTGGAATTGACTTGAAGGCACCTGACAACAACTTTGAAGGAAGAGTCTTAAGAGACAATCCCTAAGCCAAAGGCCGCTCACTCATTCATTCCCTTCTGCTGAGTACTTGCACGCACCGTGTCACACAGCAGAACACATAGGAGACGTGATTCCCACACTTGTCATTTTAATGGGAAAGAAAAACAGTCTCCTGGTCCAGGCTCATCAAACGACTTTTCTGCTAGCTCTGGTCCAACGACCAGTGGTTCAAAGGACCTAAGATGTTCTTACTGTTATTCAGGATTCATTTTTACTGACATTGATTGAGAAAAGAAGTGGCTTATGTAATATGGATGTTCAAACCAATTTTTCTTGTGTTTTGGTCTCCTTGTTTGAGATGATCATATTACAGAAGCAACTCTCTAGTATATACTTTATCCACAAAGAGGGGAAATGGGGGCCAGGCTATACAGGTTCCAGCTCCTTTCTCTAGGGAAGTCTGCCAAACCTATACTGACCACAAACAGGGCGGATTATCAAGAGCAAGTGAGAAACAGTCTCGTTCAAGCTATTACTCAAAGAGGATGCACAATCGAAAGCATCTCTAAACTCTGTGCTTAGGCTACCAGGCCTGACAAGGAGCATCTGCAGACACACGTATATGCTGTGTCCACAGCTCAGGCTCACACTAACTCCCCCAGCAAAGCTGTACAAGGGCGGGGGTGGAGGGTGGTAGTCACCACTTCCTGTTTACAGAGAGGAAAAGCCAAGACAATTAAAACATTCCTGTAACACAACTGTGCTGAAGATATTTGCTAAGATAAACAAGACTCCTGAAAAGAAAACAGCCTCAAAAATTCCCTAGTTACTCATTTCATTCCTCACAAGAGAATTTGTGACAGGACAGCCAATAAAAATCCTCACCACTTGGACAACTGGTATTCACCATGAAGAAAGACTGAAGTTATCAACGATTTCATTTTACTTGGATCCACAATTAACACACATGGTAGCAGCAGCCAAGAAGTCAAGGGAAACCTGCTGTCAGAAGCCCCTCTCCTAAATGCTAAAGAGCAAGGATATTAGTTTAAAAACTAAGGTGGGCCTGATCCAAGCTATAGTCTTTTCAACTGCTTCCCATGCATCTCAAAGTTAGACAGTGAATAAGGCTTACAGAAGAATTACTGATGCCTTTAAGCTGTGGTGTTGGGGAAGAGTTACTGGCTATCCCATGGGTGGCCAAAAGAACAAACAAGTGTGTTTTTGAGGAAGTGCAGCCAGGGTGCTCCGGAGAGGCGAGGATGGGGAAGCTTCCTCTCACCTACTGCAGGTGCACTGTCAGGAGAGACCCATGTTTGGAAAAAGAATCCAGCCTGGAAAAGGGAGAGGGTCAGAGAGAGAGAGGAAAACCCTCCTCAAGATGGACTGACCGGTGACCGTAACCACGGGCTCTAGCCTGTCAGAGGTCATGAGGATGGTGCGGGACAGGACAAGGTTCAGGTCTGTTGTTCCCCGAGTCGCTATGAGTTGTACTCGAGATGACGGCATCTGACAAGGAGTCCACTAAATCAACCACCCCCATCAACCCTGTGTCAACCATGCTCCTCAGTGATCCTGAGAAAGGGGGAGAGAAACATGCAGGGCACAGTGAGCACACCGCGAGCCGTCCAGCTTGCTGTCCTCCGCCCTCCAACAAGTTCTGCCAATACTGATCAGTTTATCAAATATCGAGCCTGTGGTTGCCGCTGAGCAGCAGTGAGCTCCCATATCTAGTACTTCAGCAGCAAAAGACAGTGCCCAGTGAAGACCTTCACCATTTCCAGCAAATGCTCTCCTGTCAACCTTCCCGTCTCTTCAATTTAGAAGAAACACACAGGCAAGGGCCCAGTGCAGCTGTGCTCCTTCCTTTGTAAATGTCCTTAACAAATTTCAAGTCCTAATTCTCTGCCTGCCACCCACAGCTGACCTTTTAAAGGTATTCTTATATGCTGAATGCTGGTGTTATTATTATGTACCACTGAGTAAGAACCAACTCCTACTGACCTTCCAGGGGGATTTCAGAAGTCAAAAATCCCCCGGGAGGAGGCTGTCTATCTTCTTCCGCAGAGCACCCAGTGGATTTGAACTGTTTTTCTTTAGGTTTGGCAGCTCAACTCTTTACCCACAGGACCACCAGAGCTATGTGCAGTAATATGCATTTTGTCTTACTAGGTTCTTACTCTCTGCTATCTGTACTTCCTTCCTTTATTCTCAACTCCCCTCATGTAATGTTTAATGATTATGTGTGTTCTAGTTCTCTTACGGAAATGGATTATTTGGTCAGGGAGATAAAAATGTAACAAAACGTGAGACTGTACACTGTACATCCTGACAGAGCACACTGACATTTTTCATTTTGTCATTTCAGAATTTTCTATTTCTGTGTTATTGTCATCTAAAAATTTGGAGAACTGGGGGGGGACCTACATGTGGGCATACTATACTATAAAACTTGCCAATATGAATACTTGATCAAGTCTTAACTTACAAGTATCTATAACTTGTTAAACTAAAAACAAGTAGTCGTGAGAAATAATGCCCCAGAGCATATATGACCACAAGAAACTCTCAATTCTTTCTCAGTAACTTAGAAATGATGGATCAGTTCTTTATTCATTCAAATAAAGATCTGTGGCTGATAGAGACAACTCAACTCATTACTGCCTACTGAAACCAACTTATAGCTGACTCTTCAACAAGTTTTCAGAGGCTTAAATCACCCGGGAGGAGAATGCACATCCTTCTCCTGAGGTCACAAACCATGAGCCTTTGCGCTGGCAGCGTCAGCTCCTCTCCCCTAGGCAGGCTGTTGTGGAGAGACCAGTAAATACGGACTCTGACTAAATTCGTACAGACACCGACTGGCTCTGAGCTCTTTCCTAGAGAAAAGAGGAGAGCAGGGCGGTGACCTAGTTCCTAAGAGGGTTAGGAAGGATCCAGAAACCTAATTCCCTCTTCACTCACCTCAGCATAGAAGTGCACGGACTTACTGTCGGCCAGCTGCAGCTGAGAGGTGAGCTCCACTATCCGCGCCATGTAGTGGTTTTTAATTAAGTCTTCACGAGACTCCACGTCTGGGACCTGCAGGGAGCACAGAGACAGGCATAAATGCTGGGGAGGTGAGGCAGATCAGTCATCACCTCGTTCATTTATACATGATCTAAGAACCCGACAGAGTGTCCTAGCGTGCCCTTGGATAAATGCCACATCAGGCAGTGAAACGTATACGCTAGTTCCTTCCACGCAGCACTCAGACTGCAGCTGGGCAGCCTGCCGGCACCATGCTCCTTCCTCCAGCTTTCTCAGCCACAAATCTCACTAAAAATCCCCGTCTGCCTTACTCGTATGTCCACCTCTAACTACAAGAGAGAAGGACAAAGGTGGCCATTGTCTGCAACTCCTCAAACCTCACCATTCTTTTCTCTTTCCCCAAAGAATCTGAAGAGCTCTCTAACAACAATTCCTCAACTATACGTGAAATTCTTCCTATACTGCAGAGTCTGTGGCCCTCTAACTGGACAATAACTATCAGCAACTTGAGCAAAGATACACTGTTGAGTTTAATTTTAAAATATGGGCAGCAGTTGAAGCCTAAGTTATAAGACCAGTACAAAAATCAACTAATTTTCCAAACTACTTGAACCAAATTTTTCAGCTTACTATGCAGAATGGTAAGCTGGATGATTTCAGGGTTGTTTTAAGGGCTATGTCTAAAATGCCACTTCATATTTTGAAATAATGACACCTATCTGACAAGCCAAATCTTACTTGAGGCCTGAAAGGAGCGAATAAGGATTCTTTACGGAGCCCCGACGGCCTGTTTCTCCGACCTGCCCACTGCACTGAGGCTGGGGGCTGGGGGACTAGGGGTTAAGGGGCCAGAGGGCAGGGGCAATGAGGCCAGCACTGCCCTCAACCTCCCGCAGCATTCCAGTGAGCCAGCAGCCACGCTCTCGCAACTCCTGGTCAAACTGCCAAGCCAAGCCATTCACCACGGCAATGACAAAAACAGGGTAATCATTTGCCGTATTTTCAGTGATAGTTAAAATGGTATCAAAAAGAAAAGGGACAAAAAGTCCATCATCATTGGTGAAGAAGATACAGGCTTTCTATTTTTAAGAACTTTCAGGAAACATCCATTTACTTTCCTGTGAGTTTGTCAACACACACACTTCCAGATATTTACTAACGTACAACATGCTGAAAGAATCCATTACCTCACTGTCAGATGTCCTGGTTAAAACGCCAATCTAGAACAGAAGAGAAAAGATTTTTAAAACTCACCATTTGTATTTCAAGAACAATTATTTTACTGTCAATACTCAGCAAATAATTAATCTTCGTTTTCTCAGTTCATATTAAGCTTTAAAGTGCACTGGGACCAGAGTCCCTCATGGCCACCTGCCGATTTAGAGAGCTGCAGAGAGGACGGAGCCAGGGAAGTGTCACCACCCCAAGGCCATAAGGAATGGTCATCATCAGGAGACACAGCTAAACACTCACTGGATATTTTTCCTGGTTGGGCTTCCAACCTCTCATCTGGGAAGAGAGAAAGAACTGATCGCTCTTGACCCCACTGTTATGTCTATACCTGTGTGCTAAGCAGTAACTGAGAAGGAGTATTCTAGAGGATTTTGGTGATAGTGCAATCATGGGAAGGGCTGATGTGACTGACAGGTTCACAAAACCAACAGAAATATCCAAAACAAAAGGGAGCTCTGGTGGCTTAATGGTAAGAATCTACACTGTGATCCCAAAGGCTCACGGTTCAAATCCACCAGCCGCTCTGCGGGAGAAGGATAGGCGATTAACTGTCCCATCCGATTAACTGTCTCTGAAAACACATGGGATGATCAGTTCTGACTCGATAGTACATAACAACAACAACCATGCAAAAACAAGAGCAAGAGGAAGAATAAGCAGTAATGGGTGTATCAATAGTCCAAATTCCAATAGTCACTAAATTCTAAATATAGAGAAAACATTTCTAGTAATACTCTGATTGAAAATTTAGAAGAACTACATCTTGGAGATAGATAGATAGATAGATAGATAGATAGATAGATAGATAGATAGATAGATAGATAGATAAAGATAGATACATAGATAGATAAAGATAGGTATACAGATAAACTACCATGATCATCAGAAGTCATATTTTCTGATTTAAATGAGTGAAAATGTAATTTTAAATATACTAAATTGTTGGCAAAAGTTTTCCAGCTTGCTCTTGTAGGGAAAGATGCATAAAACAGGCATGACTGGCCTCCCTTCCATATTTCCTTTCAAGGAAGGAGGTCTGTCCCCTTAAGGATGTAATTTTCTAATAAATCTACCTTTACTATTTTACCCTAAAAAAAAAAACCAACCCAAAACCTAAACCAAAAAAAATATCAGCACGATTACTGGATTCAAGTTCTTGTTCAAGGTGGAAAGGCATGTGCTTGGGCATAAAGACTTAAGGAAACCACGGGAAATGCAGTTTCACTGGATCCTGTTAATCAGAACCGACCGCAGAGGGGTGGTTTTCACAGATTCTAAAGAATGTCCTCAGGAGTACCCCTGCAAGCGCGAACAGCGTGCCAGCAGAATGTGCTAACAAAGGCCATGCCCACCCAGCTATGAAGGGTCTTTTATACATTTTGTAGACAGCAGCTATAATTTTCTACTCACCGGATCCTGAATAGCAATTACTCTTTCTACTTCAGTTAAGAACAGCTTACAGTAAAACACCAATCTTTTAACTTCATATACTTAAATGTGACTGAACTTGGCAAACGCAAATAGCCAGGAGGCAGAGGTGTATCTAGCTTTTCTCCCTGCAGGGCCCCGCACCCCAAGTGTTGGTTTGAATGGGATAGAACACACAGCCCCTCAAATGAATGCTATCATATATAGCTTTCTTATTCAAGGAAGTGTTTCAAAACCTATGACGTCAACATTTTCTCATATATTGCCAATGAGAAGCTAACCTGATAAAAATCCTAATTTTGCAATAAAGATCAAGGAGTCTAAAAATATTTACATCTTTTGACCAATAATTCCAACCCAAGAATATCTCCTAAGGAAATAATCTGAAATGTTATGTATACAAATGAAAAGTTACCTAAAATATGAAAAATTAAAATCAATGCTCGACTATAGATAAACTTTGTCCATATGGAACCAATAAGTTTATATGGTGTTCCTAACAACAAGATCAGGGAGCCCTGGCAGTCCAGTGGAGAGAGCTGCACTGCTAACCCAAAGGCAGTCAGTTCGAATCCACCAGCTGCTCTGCTGGAAAAAGATGGGCAGTCTCCTCCCCGGTGACTTACTGCCTTTAAAAACCCACTGGTGGTCAACTAGAAGTCATTCCTGACTCCACCGTATGTAACAACAACAACAGGATCAACGCTTATATTATGCTAAAGCCATTTGAAATGTTATAATATACAATTTCAAACTCAATCATGTTAAACATTTTGCAGACAAAAAAAGATTTAAGTTATGAATGGATATCTAGGAAAATCAGATCAATTCCTCCTTTTACTTATCTTTATTTTTAAATTCTCTTAAAACAATGAATTCTTCTTACTTGAAATATATAGTAATGCTTTTTAACTCTAGTTAATAAAAAATTATGTGTATCATTGTCTCTGCTTTTTCTTTCTTTAAAATTTATTTTATATTGCTTTGCATAAAAATTAATATACATGGTGTTTCATTCCTATACACTGTGTTTTTCACACATTTCTTCTTTCCATTGTTTCATATGATCATTCCCATACATTGTGTTTTACAAAATTAATCACCATTAATCTATTCCCACTATTACCTCATCTTTTCAAGTGCCTACTGGATTTTTCCCAATTCCTTCACCCCTCCTCCCTCGCTTTTTCTTTCTTAATGTCAATGGTGTTCAAATTATAGCACTAGCTAGTTAAATAAGAATAATAAGCTTTCAACCTTTGAACTGTTAAAAGAATAGAATTGAAGTAAGTATCTTCTACAGGAAGTCAGTAGTTTAGGCTCAATGAACTTTAAACTCAGCTGGAACTGATTCGTAGCTGACCCTCCTTTGGGTTTCAAAGGCTGTAAATTACATGGGAAGAGACTGCCCACCTTTGTCCCACAGCGTAGATGACGGATTTGAACCCAGAGACTCAGCCTTTGACTGAGCAGCACAACTCCCTACAGACTACGCCATACCTAATCTCCCAGTGATTTCAGAGATGTCTAGTAATCAGTTAACTTTAAAATGAGAACAGATGCTACCAATGCCCCAGGGAAGAAGTCAGAAAGACATTCACTCATCATACAGCCCAACACATAGTTCGCTTAAGGTTGAAATGCAGAAACATCAAGGAAGGCACAAAACGTCATCTCTTTTTTATCGCTAATGCCCGCTATGGGCAGGGCAGTGGGTGAGGGAACTTTGGGTCGTTTTTCTCAGGACTGTGCCATCTGCAGAAGGGGAGCTGTCTGGTGACGCTTTGCTTGGCCTGTCTTGGACGCCTGCTCGTTTTAAAAACCACTCACAACAACAACAATGTGCGGTTTGGATTCTGTTTCTACTGGACAGTACTGCTGCAGTGTCACTGGTGTTGATTCCTGCAGGGATTGGAACCCAGTCGGTCTTTATTTCTGGGTTCATCTCAGACCTGGCATGATGTCAGTGCTTAAAATAGTTTTGCTAAACAAATGAGCAAATGGATAAACTTTGACCTTAAAGGTACTTTTTTGAAATACTCTTATTTGAAAGAAATACATAGATGCTGAAGCAGAAAAAAAAAACAAAACCACAACACTCGCACATCATCTTGTATGTAGTGTCCTTCCTGTCCCTTCCGGGCCCCTGCTCTGTGTACCCACAGCACTCTGCACAGATGCCAAGCAAAGCCCTCATGCTGTTTAACTTCAAGGAACTAATGGAGCGTTAACACATTCCACCACACAGAGCAAAGAGAACCAACGAAGGAGACAGGCCTGGACAGCAAAGCCAGGCCTGGAGCAGCGGATCACAGAAAAACAGGACATTCCCGCTGATGGGCGTTACACTTCAGTCAGTCAAAGAGAAGGAAGGACAAACTGGGCAACGAAAGAATGCAGCTATTCAGGAGGTGGTGGTGGTTGTGAGGTGCTGTTGTGCTGACTCTGACTCACAGGGACCCTGTGAACAACAGATCTGAGCCCTGCCCTATCCTGCACCGTCGGTACCACCCCTAATATGCTCCAGGACGCTGTTACAGCAACTGGGCCATTTTGCTGAAGGTCTTCCTGACTTTTGCGGACCCTCCACCTTTCCCAGCAAGATGTCTTTTTCCAAAGACTGACCCCTGGTGACAAGAGGCTCAAAGTATGTGAGACAAATATCCAGGTGAAAGAAATTGCAGGGCCAAGGACCAAGCTCAACCCACCACTGCCCTTCTCATCCATGGCAGCTCGAATGACAGGACTGAAATGCTCCACAGGGTTTCCAGGCCTGTGAGTGTCAGCTCACAGCTGAAGCTAACTGCCACGCCTTTAGCATTCGGTGACTAGTGCGTTCACACTGCTGGCCTTTGAGTTAGCCACGTTCTTTAACATATCTCTCTCTCTCTCTCTCTCTCTCTCTCTCTCTCTCTCTCTCTCACACACACACACACACACACACACACACACACACACACACACACACACACACATATATCCCAGGGCTCCTGTGGTTGGAACATACAGTTATAACTTAGAGAATATTCTAGGACAAGGCTCAGAGGTGTTGTTCATAAGGTTGCTATGAGTCGTAGTTGACTTCACAGCACCTGACACCTCACACTGTGAGCATGGTGGTCCTTCAGTCAAAGCTTTCAGAAGTTGAGGTATTTTTTTGTTTTTACTTTTTTTGAACTAAATTCTTCATTTTTTCCTTATCTACATGTTGTGATAAAAATTTTCAAACATAAAAAAAAAATTTCAAACATATAAAAACATGGGTGGGAGAACCTGATGCCTTTGAGCTGTGGTGCTGAAGAAGAGTGTTGAATATACCACGGACTGCTAGAAGAACAAACAGGTTTGTCCTAGAGAGGGTGAGACCTGGCTGCTCCTTGGAGTCAAGGATTGTGAGGTTTTGCTTGACATATTTGGGGCACATTTCAAGGAAGGACTAGTCCTTGAAGAGGGACATCATGCTTGGGAGGGTGAAAGGACAGCACAAGTGAGAAAGACCCTGAATGAGATGGACTGACTCAGTTACTGGGGTAAGGAGAGTAGGTGTGTCATGGACAATAAGGTCGGCACAGGATAGAGCAGGGGGCTATTGTACATAGGGTCGCTGTGAGTTGCAGGTGACTCAATGGCACATAACAAGAAAAACAACAACATACCAAGATTCAATAATTGTGAACATTTTGTTACATCTGTGATATTCTCTAGAAAGATTTTCTGAACAATCTGAAAATAAGTTGCAGACATCAAATACCTTATCATAAATACTTTATCATGTATCTAAAAAAAAGGACAACAGATATTATCCTATGGAATCATAAAACTATTACTGCATTTCAAAAAAATCAACTACTTTGAGTTTTTGATGCTTCCAATGCAATGAGGCATGTTCAGCTCTTAAAACTAAAATGTGGTTTGTAAATTTTGCTATTTGTTATGCTCTGAATGAGACATAAGGTAAATCTTGAGAAAGATCACCATTTATTCTTTAATCATATTCATCCATGCACTGAATGAAAAAAGTGAGCAGAAAAGCCCACTCCTTGGGAGCAACAGGTAAAAAACACTTAAAAAAAAAACCAAAGAAAATAAAAAACAAAAACCTCAAACTCATTGCCATAGAGTTGGAACTGACTCGTAACTAGGGTTGGTGGTACAACTCCCAATCCAGTAGGCTAGCAGAATTCTAGTGTTGCCTAAATTCTTCTGAAATGCCTGTAAAAGATTCTTCAGATTATAAGGGTTTTCCTCTCTTATCTTCTTGCCTTCTCCTTTTCAACATGTTCCTATTTATTTTTCTACAATGCGTGGAATAGCAGAACCAGAAAACATTTTAAAAATTAATTTTGAATTCTGTATCTCCAATATAAATGTTTCTTCACATCTGAATCACTGCAGTTACAAATAAGGCAAGAAACATAAAATGGAAAGATGCCTTGCCAGACAGGTATCTGATGGAATATAATTAACCTGGTGGGGGTTTCTGTATTACATACATGTCAAAAAGCTTAAAAGGGTCTAGTAGTGCAACATAACATTATAAATGGCATTTTTTTGGTAAAAAGTTATATATATGTGGCTCTTGCTCAGAAACATAACCTTGCATTATGTTTCATGGGGAAAACATACTAATCCTAAGTAAAACTTATAGCAGCCTTTCTATGAACACAAGCGTTCAGTGTGTGAGAGGCTCCCATAAAACCATGCGTATTTAATGTAGGGCTTTGTGAAAGGGTCATTTTATCTGAAGCACCTCAGGCATGCCTGTCCTCATCAAACACTGATGTGTAGTTTAGGCAGCTAGCACTGAACTAACTGGTTAGCCCCTGACCAAATGCTGTGGTTGCTATAGTTAGGAGCGGTCGAGTCAACTCAGGCTCACAGCAACCCTGTGAGCAACAGGTCAGAACTGTGCCCTATCCCACACGATCCTCATCATCTCATATACTCAAATCCATTGTTACAGTCTCTGTGTCCATCCACCTTGGTAATGGTCGTCCTCTTTTTCTCTGACCCTCCACCTTTCCAAGGTTTGGTCCCTCCTGACAACATGCCCCAAGTAGGGGACATGGAGCTTCACAGTCCTTGCTCCAGGCAACTGGAAGAGAAATCCCCGAGGGCAGCCCAGAGGAGACATACCAGACTGGTGCTCTGAACCGGCTCCTGTGCAGTCCTGGCTGCAACGTCATCCTGGCCCGGAGTGCTGGGCAGGGCAGTGCTGTCCTGAGCCAGCCCAGTCAGCTGCCCATTGCCTGTGCTCTTCAGTTTGTCTGCAATCCGCTGGTTTTCTTTCTCCAGCTTGACTTTGGCTAACTGTGCCTCCAACATCCAGTGCTCCTTCTCTTGCTCCAATTTAGAAATCTTCTCCAAACTTTGCTGAACCTGAAAAATAACACAGGATTTTGTACCTTAGAGGATGAAGTAGACAAAACTCAGTGGCCCAGAAACACTTTACAGACTGTAAGTCAATACTACTCTACAGAGGCGAAAACTAGTATGCGGAGTACAAAACATACAGCCACAGGGGGAAATCATTGGGGTACACAATTTGGTGGCTGGAGGGAGGGGGGTAAAGGAAAAGGGAAAGGTTTTGCAGGAACCTGCAAAGATGGGGTAATGGTGGGCATATTCAATGGGAATTAAGTTTATAAAACACAACGTAAAGGAATGATTATATGAAACACAATGTATATGAATTTTGTATGCAAACCATTATAAAATTAAATGTAAAAAAAAAAAGACCCAACATATATAAAACTGAGAAACTGACATGCTGCTGTTAGCTGTCTCTGAGATGTTTGACTCACAGAGACTTAAATGAATCCTGGTGTTGTCAGGTGTCCCTGGGTCAACTACAGCTCACAGCAGCAACCCCATGAACAAGAGATCTGAATTCTGCCCTGTCAGGGACCACCCTCACCATCTCCAAGATGCTCCAGCCCCTTGTCACAGTCACTGTGTCAAACCCTCTGGTTGAGGATCGTTCTCTGACTCTCCATCTTTTTTAAAAAGCCAAATTCTAGATATCAAAAGGTATCATTAAGACATTGAAAAGGAAGGCCACCAAAGAGAAGAAGATTGTATCCAATGTTATTGTTGTTGTTGTGTTGTTATGTGCCATCGAGTTGCCTGTGACTCACAATGACCCTATCTATATACAATAGCTGTGAAACCTGTCCTGCCCTGTATCCATAGAGGATTCCTATTCAGAGTAGATGAAGCATTCCTACAAACCAAAAAGATTGACAATCCAATAGGGAAACAGTCACACAAAAAAATGTGCACAACTTGAATAGTCACTTGAACAAGACAATCAAGGTGATTGCTGCATGCCATCAAGTCAGTGACTAGAAATTAAATAATAAAGGCAGAACATACACTGCTTTAAAACCTCTAAAAACTCGCTTCTAACTCAAAGGTGACACCTCTCTGCCGGTTCAAATCCCCCAGCCACTCCATGGGAGAAAGACGGGTACTCTCCTCCTATTTAGAGGCGGTTTATGGCCTCTGAAAGCCATCTGAATGGTCAGCTATGGGTCAGCTCTGACTTGCCAGCACAAGCCTGAGTTTGCGTGGACGCTGTTTACAGCGTCTTTCTCACCTTATTCCACTGAGGCATCTGCAGAGTTTGACCATCCTCACTCCTCAAAGAGGCTCATTCCCTGCAGCTCAACTACTTCTGAAGCTTGCAAAGAGCAGAGCAGGATTTGGGACCCATCTGTAGGCTCCCATAGCTGGCTATGCTGCACCATTCTCATCATCTCTGACACACTAGAATTCCCTGGCCTATACCGCACAGCCTCCCATTGGGCCTAGGGAACTGGACGAGTACAGCTGGAGACTGGCAGTGCAGGAAGGGACCAGATCCAACTAGCACAGCTGGGGAACACAGTGCAGGAAGGGACTAGATCCGACTAGTACAGCTGGTGACCAGCGGTGCAGGACAGGACCAGATCCGACTAGTACAGCTGGTGGATGGCAGTGCAGGACTGGAGCACATCTGAGGCCACACTCTTCTGCCACTTGTTATTTCACTTGAGCTACTTAACCTTAATGAGTCTTAAATATTTTTAAAGAATTCCACACTTGAATGTTTCTCCTGGAAATTCTGGTTTTGGAAAATATTTTTTTTTTTTTTATGGTGAGAAAAATTTATTACATTTAGAATTAGCCCGCTGGACTCAGTTTAGATGATCCCAATTTTGTTGGCAACATCCAAAGCATCATAATCAGGAGCAAGTCGAACATAGGCCTTCTTCTCTCCATCAGGCCTAATCAAAGTGTTGACCTTAGCCACATCAATGTCATAGAGATTCTTTACAGCTTGTTTAATTTGGTGTTTAATGGCCTTGACATCCACAATGAACACAAGTGTGTTGTTATCTTCTATCTTCTTCATAGTTGACTCAGTGGTCAGGGGAAATTTGATGATGGCATAGTGGTCAAGCTTGTTTCTCCTGGGAGCCCTCTTCCGGGGGTATTTGGGCTGCCGTCGGAGTCTCAGCGTCTTAGGCCGCTGGAACGTGGGTGACGTGCAGATCTTCTTTTTTTTTTGGCTGTGGACGCCCTTCAGGACTGCCTTCTTGGCCTTCAATGCCTTTGCTTTGGCTTCAGTTTTGGGAGGGGCAGGGGCTTCCTTCTTCGCTTTCGGCGCCATCTTCGTAGAAAGGCAGAAAATATTTTATGGATCTGATTTCTAAATCCAATAGCCAAGAGCATTAATATAAAATAAATGTTCCATTTCCAATGCAACTAAGTTCTAGAGAAACAGGCACTATATCGGGTGCACTGATTCAGGCTGCCTTGAAATCACTATTTCTAAACCTCACAGAAGCAAGGAATAAATAAATCTGAAAATGCTAACCTCATGTATCTCTGAAGAGCTTTTTCTTCCCTCCACAAATGTCTAAATATTTCAGACATTTCCATCTAACTTTTTTTTAAGAGAGAGAGAGAGAGAGTGTGTGTGTGTGTGTGTGTGTGTGAGAAATAGAGAGAGAGAGATCTGACTGGTACAGGAGGAGATTGCCCCTCCTACTCCAGCAGAGCATCTGGTGGATTCGAACTGCTCACCTCTGCAGTGCAGCTTCTTGCCACTAAGCCACCAGACCTCACCTCAATCTAACTTCTAAGGAAGGAAAAAACTAGTCATTGTGGCCAAAGTGGGCTCAGACCACTTCAGTGGCAGTTATAATGCCCGTAACTTAGGTGCTTTCTAATTCAGTTCTCTCAGTGGTTTAATGGTCCTGCATCTTACAATTACCAATGCTTTCCAGGTGCCGTACCTGTTGTGCGAGCCCTTCCCGGCTTTCCGTTGAGCTCAGGAGGATGCGACGGTTTGCCAGCGCTTCTTCATAAGGCACAGACTCTCGGAGAGGCTGTGGGAAAAGCATCATATGAACTAAAGGAGGGAAGCCAGCCACCCCCCTGATCTACATGAACAAAGAAGAACGCTAAACCAGGTGTGATGATAAATTCAGAAATGTCAACACAGGCCACTTCCTTCAAAATATATCAAAAGAAACTTTCATTGAGAAATAATGAAGGGGAGCTTTTCATACAAGCTATAAACTCAATCAACTAACCACATGGACTTGCACAGAAATAAGACAGATGACAGAATAGGACAACCAGACAAAAGGACACACAAAATGTATCATGTGGAAAAAGCTATACTTTTTTTTTTTAAAGCTACACTTTTAATTCAATGGAGAAAGGATGGACTGGATAAATGGCGCAAGAGGAATCATTTTTTCTATTAGAAAAACACTACTGGGACCCCTACTTCACACCTTTGTCAGAGTAAATTTACTTATTTACATTAAAAACAATTTTGACTGGGGTGGGCAGGGAGGAAAGTGTGCAACAATGAATGAATGGAAATCTGAGGTCTCTGTACACTTTCATTAAAATTTAAAAAACAAAAAAGTTTTGACATGGAACCACTATGGAAGGCAGTATGGTGCTTTCAAAAGTTGCAAACAGAAATACCATTTGACTCAGCAATTACACTACTGGCTATATACCCCAAAGAAACCATAATTGCCACCCAAGCAGATATATGCACAACCATGTTTATTGCTGCTTTGTGTATAATAGCAAGGAGTTAGAAACAACCTAAATGCCCATCAACAAACAAATGGGTAGAGAAGCTCCAGTATATTCACACAATGGAATACTATGCTGCATTGAAAAACAAGGAACTCATGGAATATTATATAAAGTGGATGACCCTGGAGAACAGTAAGCTGAGTGAAAGATCTCAGTCACAAAAGGACAAATTACTACATAGTGCCACTGTTGTAAAATGGGACTGACATCGGGGTTGGGGGGAGACTGAGAAAGATGGGATAAATAATGTATACTGCATTGAAACAGATGAGGGAGAAAACTGTTTAAAAGGGATATGTGATTAGGTATTACTGTCATGACAGGAGTCCAGAATGAAGGCTGCATAGCGGAGTGGACCTGGGGGGAGGAATCGTAAAACAATGAAAGAATTTTTCTTTTACTTTTCAAAGAGAAGATTGAACTGGGGGGAGGGGGGAGGGGTGGGCAGGGACACAAATGCAACAATGAATGTCTGGAAACCCTAAGTCTCTGTAAATTTTCATTAAAATTAATAGTAATAATTTAAAAAATTTTGTAAAAAGTTTTTACTACAAAACTAAAAAAATCATGGAAAAAAGAGACCAGGTTTACAGATGTTATAGAGATTATTTTAATTTAATCACAACTTGTGTAAACTGTTGAATGGAAAATCAATTTGCACTATAAACTTTTACTTAAATCATATTAAAAATTCTTATTTTAACCACAAAAATATTGAAAGAAAATATAGAAGTCCATTTTTAAGAAGTTGCAAAGTCCCTATGGCTTAAAAATCACCATAAATGGCTTGAAAATCACCATATCACCAGACATGATATAAAAATGAAAAAAAAACAAAAACCTAAAAGAACAAACCATTTGAAAAATGGGGTAAACAGTTCCAACATAAACAGAGTGATAAAGTACTTAATATTTAATGAGTTCTAGCAACCCTAATAAAGGCATTTATTTTAAAATAAGTTAAAGATCTGAACAGAGGATTAAAAAATAAACATAATTAAAGATTTTTCACCTGACTCATACACAAAGAAATACAAATCAAAACAAGAAAATGCTAAGATTGATAAAGACTTTTAAAAATTGTAACAGTCGAAATTAAAAAAGTGTATAACACTGTTTAAAATTATATTTCTACTGTTGGTAAATTTAATTCATTAACTCTCATATTGTTTGGTAAAAAATGTGCCAAGATTTGAAACATGCAGAAACTTGGCACCAGAAATTCCAAGTCTGTGATTTAATTTTAAGAATATAATTGGGGGGTAAATTAAGCAGAATATAGGGAAACAGCTTAATGCAGAAAAGCCACTCTGAAGAGCAATTTGACAGTAACCTGTGAAAGTCACATGGCCTAGAACATTCCACTTCTCAGTACCTAAAAAGTAAGAAGCACTCATGTGTTCAAAGACTCCCTTCCAGAGCTATCCAATTACCACATTCTTTTAACAGCAAAAAAAGGGGGGAAAGCCAGTAAAGGGCTATCTAAATGGACCATGGAACACTGGTATTGTACACTTCTACACTAAATTTAAAAGGAACAAAGCAAGCACCTCATGTAGTAATAGACAGATTTCTAACACATTTTAAATGAAAATGGCAAGTTGTACAATAAGGTGCCTTTAAGTTGAAAAATTGTATACGTGTGTGTGTATGTGTGTATCCATACATATACACACATATCAGGAAAAGTCTAAAAGGTTTCACACAAAATTGATAGTAACCACAGTTACCTCTGGAGGGTAAATGGAATTAGACAATATAATCTATCTCTAATGCTCTAAATTAATTTCTATATTTATATATCATATGTCAATAAAAATGAAAAAGGAATGAAGATAAAAAAGTAAAAAACTATACAAAGTTGTATATGCATTACTACCTGCAGGAGTATTGTTTTTAACAGTGAAAAAAAATGAGAAACTAAATATCCACCCCAATGGTTTGGCTAATTAAATTACTGAACATTCACAGAATGAATACAGATAAAATAATATTTTATATTAATGATAACAAACATATTTCTGTATGTGTTTATATGTTATTTGATACATTACACTGTACACAATGCTTAAGAAGAAAAAAAAAATCCAGATTTTAAAACAGTAATATGTACAGAGACACAGTGTCCTTCTTGCAGCATATATAAATGTGCATCAAAATATTTTAAATACAATCTGATGGGTGGAGGGAGTGGGGGTGAAGGAAATGGGAAAGATCCGGTATGAAAAACAAAATATACAAACTCTGTAAATAAACCAGTATAAAATAAAAAATCAAACACAGTTTAGAATAGATGCCTTTGCGAAGTGGGATTGGAGGAGATGCTAATTTTCTTCTTCATGTATCTGTTTCTTCCAACTTCCTTTCACATTTTTTTTGTGAAAACCATACATTTTTATAATCAGAAACAGTTGTGAGTACATACATTTCAACTTCTTAAAGATTTTCTGACATCTGATGTTTACTGACTGCCTTGTTCCAGGCAGTCACTCTGCCCCAAACTAGGGACATGAATCCAACATGGTGGATGGTCACAGGAAAGTTGCTTATCCGTTGAGATTCAAGTCTCTATTCCCACCTTCTCTTCAGGCCCCACTCAACACCCACGCAACACCTGTACCTCAAAAACTATACAAAACAGTATGAACTGGGAGAAACTGTTACCCTTCCCAGGAACTGCCCCTGGCTGCAATGTTAGCAGGCGCTCACAGACCTTCCTCAGAGCCTTCATATAGGCAGCGGCTTTCTTCTTGTACTGCAGCATGCACTCGGCTGAGAGCGGGCTGATGAACCCACTTGCTGTCCGGGGCCCGTAGCTCAGAGAAGCAATGAAGTGGTCCACATTGTTGCTGAAGAAAGATGCAATCTAAATGAAGTATGACAAGAAGATTGATTTGGTGTCCCAACAATTTATTGAAATGTGCATCCACTAGCTTTCAGAGGAAACATAAAAGAGGTTTGAGAATAGAAATGAAATTTCAACTTTTGCCCAACAGCTCATACTAATGTATCTGAAAAAGGCTGGACAATGATTTATAATACAAAGACAATAGAAGTATACATATTGAGACCAGACTTTCTACGTGCCCCACTTTAGACAATTTCTCTTCTGCCTGAAGACCAGGACAGATTTAGATGTATTCTGGGTGGCATTCATGAAATGTATACCTCATTAATTTCTGCCACTGCTTTCAGAACCATCTGAGTTTCTATATTCTCAAATGTATTTTAACTTTGAAGGTAGATCCAAAATGTCCAAAAGAAGATACAACATAAACATCCTGAACTCGTAATCTTTGTACATCTCAATTAGTGAATTATAAATATAATCAAAAAAGAGCAGAAATGCAGTAAACCCTTGCCATTTACACCCTTAGCATTTGTTAAATCTATGTAAGTCACCACAAAGTCCCATGACTGTAATTCTGCAGAGACATTATTTTGAAACTACTGCTCTATATAAAATGAGAATAAAATTGTCTGAGAAGGTTCTTGACCAGAAGAAAGAAAAAAGAAAATTTTAGCTAAATCATTTTCTACAATTATAAATTTTAAAAAGTGTCTTGTGAAAGTATCTTGGCAAAATTTGCTAATCACGTAGTTTTTAAAATCACTAATGTTCAGAAAGGGAGCTCTGGTGGCCTAGTGGCAAGAAGATTTGCTGCAATCACCAAGGCATGTGGTTTGAGGCTATCAGCTGCTCTGCGGGAGAAGGAGGGGCAATCTCCTCCAGTGAAATTAACTGCCTCTGAAGACCTGCTGGAGGGTCAGCTATGGTTCGATTCAGACTCCATGGTATACACAACAACAATGTTCAGAAAGGGAACTCTGGTGGTCTAGGGGTAAAAAGCTGTGCTGTAATATCAAAGGCGCGTGGTTCGTATCCACCAGATGCTCCAATGGAAAATGCTGGGCAAGGTCATTCTATGTGATTACATGGCCTCTGAAAATTCACTAGAAGGTCAGCTATGGATCGGTTCAAACTTGACAGTAAACAACGATGCTCAGAAAGGTTGTGCTCTTCATTAACAACAAATACATTTATGTTAGGTGGTTGTTGTTCGATGACCACAACTCATAGCAACCCTGTGAGCAAAGAGAACAGAAGCTGCCTCTGTCCAAGCCATCCTCACCATCCCTGCCGCGCCCCACCGTGCCCACTGCGCCCCACCATCGCCGCCACGCCCCACTGTCACTGCTGCACTCCACCATCTCCACCACACTCCAACTCTTCGCTGCAGTCGCTGTGTTAATCCACTTTGGTGAAAGTCTGCCTCTTCTGACCCTCCTCACCTTTCCCAGCATGATGCCTTTTCCCAAGGACTTCTCTCTCCTGACAACATGACCAAAGTGTGTGGGATACAGTCTCACCATGCTTGTCTCCAAGGAGTACTTTCTCCAAGACGGATGGCCACCCACAGTGCATCCATCCTCTTCCCCAATGTCACAACTTAAGGGTATCAATTCTTCTGTGGTCTTCCTAATTCAGGAAGTTGCAGTACTAAGCAAAGTCCACCTTCCTCTGACAGCTCAAGTCCAATAATCACGTGAAGAGATAAGGAGTTGCACTGCCACTGCAAAGGCACACCAGCCATTCTGCAGGACAAAGATGAGCCAAATCGCCTCCCATGTGATGTGCAGCCTTTAAAAGGTCAGCTCCAAGTTGGCTCTAACTTGATGGCAATGAGTTTCTGTGAGTTCATGCTGGGTAGCATGGGTGAAAGACCCCCAGGTAAGGTGTCTTTGTCCATGGCTCCAAGAAAAACTCTTTGGTTAAGTGGGTTTTCTGGTCTAGGCCTGCCAGGCTACCCTGGAGGATTTACTCTGACTAGTTGGTGCAGGCAAGATCAGCAGAGACTCCCCCGGGAGGCAGATGTTGCCTAGCCTGAGGCAGCACGATGCAGCCTACCTCACAGGACTGACTGACAAACTCCTGAAGCTCTAAAGCTCAGAGGTCGTCCCTCTTAGGAGGGGAGTGTGCCCCCTGGGACTTGGCAGCTCCATGCTGGGAATCCTCTCAGATCCTCCCAATTTCCTCTTCGACTGTATGTACCCCTTGTAGCTATACAAATCTGTAGTTGTATGTAAGGTAAACTCATAAAAAAAATCCCAGTGCCTGGAATCAGTTCTGACTGACAGGGACCCTCCTCTGTCAGGTTCTGGGGCTGTAGACTGCAATGGGAAGAGCCTGTCCAACTTTCTCTGAAAGAACAGCTTGAACTGCCAGATACACAGCTCTCTGGACAGCAGCACAACATTGTACGAATAACCATGTCCACTGAGTTCATCCCAACCCTGTATGACAGAGAACTGCGGCAGAGGGCTCCCAAGGCCTAAGTTTTTACAGAAACAGATTGCCACGTCTTCGTCCAGTAGGTTCAAACGCCTGACCTTTCAGTTGGCAGCGTGGTGCTTAAGCACCGCATTACGAAGGCTCCTGAGCATAACTTACACGCTGCTGATGCTAAGTGTCATCGAGTCGACTACGACCTGTAGTGGCCCTATGAACCCGGCATCTGCATCCTGGCCTGTCCCGGGCTGTCCTCATCATCTCCGACACACCCGAGCCCGCTCCTACAGTCACTGTATCAACCCATCTCCCTGCATCTTCCCCTCCCGCACCGGCCCACCTTTCCCAGTTTGATGTCCTTTTCCAAGCACTAGCCCCTCCTAAAAACACGCCCAAAATACGTGAGAGCAAGTTTCGCCATCCTCCCCTCTAAGAAGCACAACAGCTGCACCTTTCCCCAGACACGCTCGTTTAAGCCGCACGTTCCCTGTGAGTGACCGGGGTGGTCACCTACCCAGTGTTTACTCTTCAGTTAGGTTCGTATGGTGAAGTTTGTTTCCTCTCCTCTAATAGTTCTACATTTGCTCAATTTTCTGTAATATGCATACACCTCATCCTCCTATTTGGCGCCTTTGAATCGTGCTGTTGGCAAAGGATACCGAATCCACGGCAGACAGTCAAAAGAACAAACACACTCGTCGTGGAAGAAGTGCTTCTTAGCAGAGAGGCTGGAAAGCAGGAGTCTCACACCCTTTGGGCATGTTGTCAGGATGGGGGTATTAGCCTAAGCGTTGCCAAAATCCAGTAAAGCAAATCAACAAACAAAAGCCAGGAGGTAAAAGAAAAAACCTACCCCAGCATCTTAATGAAGGTTGGTATGTAATATTTTCCTTTTTCTAATTTTTTGTATGCGCAGTTTTCTAGAATCCCATGCAGCAGACTTTGACACACAAGGATCGTTACTGAGACCATGGAGAGTGATGAGAAAGAGGAGGAACACCCACAAGACAGGCTGGCACAGTGACTGCAGTAACGGGCGGGAGGAGGGCAGAGATGGTGAGGACGGTGCAGCGTCGCACAGGGTTTCCTCCTCTTGTACAAGGAGAGATTACGGGCTGGAGCTGAATTAATAGCGTTTAAGCAACAGCAGAATTTTCAAATCATCAAATACTGCATGAAAACAAACAATATATGGTGAGAGTGATCTGTTCACTCACTGCAAGTACTAAACAATGACAACCACACTACCTTCAGCCTGGGGCGATCGCTGCTGTGTGCTATCAAGTCGGTACCAACACAGAGCTGAGCCTCCAGCGAGTCTGCAGAAGCTGGCACTCACAGGAGATTGCCCACCTTTCTCCCACGGAGCAGCTGGTCCATTCTAGCCACCTGCCTTTGGGCTGGCAGTGCAATTCCTGACCACCGAGAGGTCATGTAACCAAAAAAGCCCCAAATAGGACAACTCTGTAACAGATCAACTCTTCTATGCCAATCAAGAAAAATAAGGGTGCACAGTTAAAGAAATTAATTCGGCGTCAACATAAACAGAAGAGAATTACCTTTCCTGCTGCGTTGGTTAATGCCACCGCTGACGACAGGATGCAATCGTTAGTGGTCACGAGCTTCTGCGTTGCCGTGGGAAGCTCCTGCTCTATGGTAGCTTTCTGACTGTAATGTTTAGAAATATCTATAAAAACAATCGAGTGGAGACGCATTACTGTAGGAGGACAAGTCTCACAGAGACAACTGGGCTGTTAGCGTCTCATCCATAGTCTTGTTAAGTTTGTTTTGCACCACAACTGGGGTTTTTCATTTTTTATTTTATACTGGTTTACTTACAAAGTTTGTATACATTGTTTTCACCCTGGATCTTTCCGCTTTCCTTTACCCATCCTTCCCTCCACCCACCAAATTGTGTGACCCTATGATTAAGTCCCCCCGATCTGTTTCCCCTCCCCACCTTGGATCCTCATACATGTTCTACAGTAATGGTCTTACACAGTATTTGTCTCTATGAGACTGAGTTAGTTCACTCAGCATAATGTTCTCCAGTCCCTCCCAAGTTAGGTAGTAATTTTTAAGATCACTGCTCCTTCGTGCTGCAGTGTTTCATTGTGTGAATATACCATAATGTCTCAATTCATCCCACTGTGGTTGGACATATGGGCTGTTTCCATGTTCTTGCGATGGTGAATAACACTGCTTTGAACATTCATGTACAAGTCTCTGTTTGTGCCTCAGTTCTTATTTTTCTCAGTGTCTATTCCAAGTAGTGGAATAGCTGGGTCATAAGGAATTTCTATGTTAAGCTTTTCTGAGGAAACACCAAACTGCCTTCTGGAGTGATTGTATAATTTTACAATCCCACCGACAGTATATGAGTTCCTATCTCATCACATCCTCTGCAACATTTATTACTTGATGCCCTGTTAAACTTTGCCACTGTTACTGAGGTGAGGTGGTATCTCATTGTGGTTTGGATTTGCATCTCTCTCTCTTATTTCCAGTTACTCCTCACAAACTTACACGTTTGACAAAGAACGAGCCCAAGCATCAGGATTACAGAAGAAACAGAACTGTGGAGGCGGGGGCTCCTGACACCATCCCACTACCCTGACAGAGCTCCTGTGAGTGTCAGCCTGAACTCAGGGGAGGACCCCAGCTAGAGTTAGCCAGTCAAAAAACACTGCTGTGATAATGGAGAGAACACTAATGAGAAAATATCCAGAACTTCTCTGTACTTTCACTTGTATCTGCAAACCATGAGGCTGGATAGTCAAGGTGCATTCCACAGCTCTGCCTGGACCTTGGCTAATCCATTGCAGTTCACAATGGCCAGTGTGAGCACAGAGAAGTCAGTGCCAGTTTTCATGTGTTATCGCTTCCAGACTAACATTGCAACATAGGCTTAAGGTTAGCAAAGCACAGAAAAGACAACTAGATACAACAGGGTTAAGAATGTAGTATGTAAGACAATGGCCTATCAGCTAATTTTTGGGGTTTTCTGGGTCTCTGAGAGATACACTGATGTCACCTTGAACATAAGGGAAAATGAGGAAATTATCAAGATAACATTTACACACACACACATATAAAACACATGACAAAGTATTTGTCTTATAGGTTTTTTCCCCATTTTTAAGACTATTATCTGTTACAGGAGCACTAATTCTCCTTATCAAAAAGAGCTAAAAAGCAAAAATCATAGAATATGCATATGAACTTTAATAGCGTATGTGTATGTAAACAATTAGACTTCTTTAGACTCAAGAGATCTAGTTGGTTTTGACTATAAATGAAGGAACTGTGGCAGTGCACTGGTTAAGCACTCAGATGCGATCCAGATGGCTGGACATGTGAACTCATCAGTGGTTCTGCCAGAGGAAAGATGTGGCCGTGTACACCACATCACAAACAGTCCTGACCCATCCTGAGCCCCCGTGGAGCTCCCAAGGCTGTGGATCAAATGGGAGGAGACTGCCCATCTTTCTCCGTCAGAGCCACTCAAGGATGTGAAGTGCTGGAGTCACACAGTCTCTGGCGACCAGCCTACGGACTACGTCACTAGAGCCCCCAATCCGAGCAACAGGCGCCCATACTTGACCTGACACCCATTCCTCATGTTTCCTGACACCCTTTTCTTTATAGCATGTTCATCTCTAAGGACAGAAACTAGTAGAGGAACAAAAGGAGCCTGGGGTCCTAGACTGTACCACCACCTCCATCAGCTCAAGAAAACGCTGCTTTCAGCCCAGTTAACTGTTATCGATGACGACACACAGCAACACTGTGGACAAAGATCAGCATCTTGCCCTGCCCATCCCGAGTCACCATCCTGATCTCCACCATGCCGGAGCCCACTGTTCTGCTCACTGTGCCAGCCCAGCTTGCTGACGGTCTTCCTCTCTTTCTCTGACCGTCATGCCATCTTTTCCGAAGAACTCGCCCTTCCTGAGAACACACCAAAGTCTGTGAGATGAAATGTCACCACTGCTGCCTCCAAGGAGCACCCTGGCCGCACCTCCTCCAGGACATCCTTGTTTGTTCTGTTGGCCGTTTGTATTTACTGCTCTTCACCAAAACAAATGAGAACAGGAATGTTCTTTGATTGTCATTCTCTCAACCATAGGCAATGTACAGGAAAAGCATCTTTAAAAAGCAGTGTATTTACAGATTCCCTGAAATACCAAAAAAGCAAAGCACCACACACACACACACACACACACACACACACACACACACACCCCCCAAAACCCAAAACAAAACACCAAATCAAAAACGGCAAGCTGTTTTCCAAGTAAAGGAAACTTTAAGCCATTATTTCAATGGATAGCTTCTACTCTTTTAACATCTCTACAAAATTCTGAAAAAACTGTCTACAGGAATAAATCACACTAACAGCATAGGAAAAAAATGTAGAAAGCAAACCACATCCACAGAGCTCCATGTGGTCTCGATGGCCTAGCTCTAGGGTGGGCCAGCCTCTGGGATGCTGGACAGCAGCCAAGCTCCAGCTCCCACACTAACGGTGCCAGTTCCAGGTTTTCTACAAGCCAGCCTAGGCTCTGCAGGGCTGGGGTTAGTGACAGTCCACTGTCAGTCCTGCCAGCTGGTCTGACTCCAGAGCACAGGGACTCCTGAAGGTCTTTATAACTGAAGATAAGCCACAGGGACAGTCATTCTCCAGGCTGAGTGACAGGAACTCTCCATAGTGCTGCCAGGACCGACTCTCAGTGCCGGAGATTACGTGCCGATGTATAAACCAGACCCACCACTACGCAGTAACGCCAACCCCCAGCAAACTTCCACTGGGTTTCTGAGACGACTGTCTTAGAGGAGGCAGCTGCTCATCTTTCTTAAGATCAGCTGGTGGACTTGAACTGCTGCCCTTTAAGTTAGCTGGTTACCATGCTATTGACTACATCATACCACCAGGGTGTGTATATTCACAGGGTGTGTTTATACACCACTTCTCTGTGTATAAAAGGGCTTTCAATACTCTTCCTGCACATGTTCTACAACACAGCTTAAGACTTTCAAAAGTCTTTTCTGTGAAATTAGTGATTAGTCCTTAACTCTCACCCACCGCTGTTCAGTTGGTTCTAAGTCTTAACAGAAGGAGTCAACCTGTCCTCTCTTGGAGCAGCTGGTGGATTAGAACCACCAGAGTTGTACAATCTTCTGGTTAGCAGCAGGAGACCCTACGAAGTGGGCCACCGGAGCTCCTGATTGGCCATTCATTACTTCCCACACATGCTCAATAACCTGGGGCTACTTGTTGTAGTCCCCAAAAAAACCTCCTTCTCTTCCTTCCCCAACCCCAGCTTGACGGAAGAGGAGAGAACAGAGGGAAAAGGAAGACAGGAAGAAGGAAATGTAGGAAGACAGACAGTGAGAAAGAAAGAAGGGGGAAAAGAAACCAAGATCTAGAGGCGATGCCGTGCAGTGATTAAACAACCGGGACTCAGAACCGTGGGGTACAACAGCCCTGGAGGGTCAGCTATGAGTCGGTTCTGACTTGACAGTACACACAACAACAAGACCATTTTGGATAAGTGCCTTCAATTTAAAAACTCTTATGTTTTATGTTTTGTTCTTTGCAAAATAAATTTATATAATACTGATTTTTTTTTTAAAAAAAGCATGCAACCTTTCAAAGCTCTCTGTCCAGCACACAAACAATGGAACTCTGATCAAAGTTCATGCACAGACTTTTACTACTTAAAGCTAAGTTAAACAGAAGGGAGCTCTGATAGCCTGGTAGGTATGAAACTGAGCTGCCAACCCAAAGGCAGGCAGCTGGAATCCATCAGCCGCTCTACTGGAGAAAGACAGGTGATCTCTTCCCATGTGGGTTCGTTCTAATTCTACAACACCTAACAATAACATGTTATTAAACAAAAGAGGACTTAAAATGCGCCCTTTGAACACAAAAATATACAGGATGGTGAAGAGTATGCTCTCTTTGGGGTTTAAACCTGGGTTTCCTCGATTCCCTTTGTGATGGGTTCCAACAGGTATGCCTGCCAATTGCGCCTCAAGTCTGGTAAAATCCACACATCTGTCTTAGGTGTTGTGGTTTGGCTACAGTACTGTGCACGAGGCTGTCGCTTCCACACTCTGTTTACCTTCAGAAACGAGGCAGAGGGGAGAAACAGCAGGCTGTGGGCTGTGCTTTGAGACGAGCCACTGGCTATCAAGCCTTTACCTGAGGTCTCCTCACTTTGGAAGTGTTTGTTTAAATCCCCTTCTGGCAGATCTGAGAACATGGGGTGAAGGATTTAAGATGACTGCTCTTACTTTTCAAGGCTCACCTTTCATGACGTCATGGAAGCCCCGCAGAGCAGCACCGACGCTGGTTAAGACAGAACTGTAGTTTGTCCGAAGGAGTCCATCCGGCTCTGTGCCTAGAAAACCAAAACCACACACGTCAGCATTTCCCAGGAGACGCCACCTGAAACATCCACAGCTACATCTCCGGCTACATCGGGGAAGACACACAACGAAGACCGCTTGGGAGACACTCTCCAAACCTGTACAGACACATGTGGTGTAACAATGACGCCAGCTTCTAACTACAACCTCTCCCAATCGGATACTTTCAATGGTTAAGAAGTAAACTTACACTGTCAGGTAGGATTATGCCTTTCATTAACATGAAATCAAAGTCTTTGAAAGTTTTTACGGCACATAACAACAACAACAACAACAATAATATACAATACATTCCTCATTTCACTTTTTCTTTCATGTTGATAGTTCCTGAACAAAACTAAAAACACTATTTCAAAAGATCAGAGTTCAATTTCTGCCCACAACAATTTGGAGAGATTCACGAACCCACTCTCCAGTAGAATCAGTCAAAAGTATTTAAATCAGTTAACAGAGAAGGTTTGCTTGGTATAGAGTATCTATTTGGAAGCTCTATTTGAATAGTACTTATTTTAGAAAGTCTACTTTTATAAGAGTTCTTCTGTTTGTGAAGAAACAAAGTTAAAAACTGAACGTACTGATTGAGAAAATACATATAAATGCGTATTGTTAAATACTAAAAAGTATTTAAAATAAAACCAACCACCTTCAGTTTCTGGGAATAGTTTGAAGGCCATGGTACATATAAAACTAAAAAAAAAAAAAAAACACCAAACAAAAAAACCCCCCAAACCCAATCACCAAAAACAAAACCTCCTAACAAATTCCTCGCTGTAGAGTCAGAAGTGACTCATTGCTGACCCTCCTGAGGATTTTCAGAAGCTGTAAATCACCCAGGAGGAAACTGCCCATCTTTCCCCTGTAGAGCGGGAGTATGGGGGTATTTATTAAAGAAAAATTACAAAACTTATGTAAGAAAAGTGAGAGTGTGCAGTGTTTGCAGACAGGCCCTCTCTCTTTCCATCCCACCTCCACAGGCTGGAAACGCCAGTGTAGACAGGGCAGAACAGGGCAAGTGTAACTAAGAGTTGAAACTCCTCCCTCTGCCCAGACCCTACGTGCAGGACTGTGGCACCACGTTGGGCACGGAGCCACTGGGAACCCTGGAGCCCCGAAAGGACTGGTCAGGACGCACGAGAACAAAGCGGCCACCAGGAAACCTACGACAGGGGGCCTGAGCCCCTGGCCCAGACTCCACGAATGCCCAGCTCCTCAAGCAGGCTTGCCACTCAAGAAAGATGCTCAGCACTCTCACCATCTCTGCTCACAGCAGTGGTCGGACAGACATCACATGCCGGGGAGAATCAAGCCTTCAAACAGAGAACTCTAAAAGAGTCCAAAGTAAACACGTACAGTTTAAAAAAAATCAGTAAGCGTGCACATTCCAAAGACAGGAATGCCCTCGATCATTCCTAGGAGAGGAGCTCGGAGGGTTTGGAATATTTTGCCTGCTGACAGCATATCTGTGTACCCGGGGCATTACGCCATGCTAGGGAAATATGCATGCCCATTTTCGCTGGGAGCTCTGGGCCATGCTTCACTGGTCTGACTTTTGAAGGGACTAGAGGCTACATGCATATGTGACCAAGCCCTCAATAGAATAGATCCCTCACCAACGCTCGGGTGAATTTCCCAGGCTGGCAACACTGCGGGTGTCACACACTATAGCTGAGACAACTAAGAACTATCTGTGTCGCCCTACTGGGGAAAAGCCTGAAGCTTGTGACTGGTCTGTAACAGACCCAGCCCGGGCGTCTTTCCCTCTGGGAAAGCATCCTTTCGTTATAGTAAACTCTTAACTCTGACTAGAACAGGAAGGTTCTGGCAGCATAATCCTTACCAAGCTGCACTGTCAGCCCTAAAACTGTACATCTTCAAAAGTTCAAATCCACCAGAGACTCCTCCCCTTGTGATCTACAGTCTCCAACATCCAATGGAGGGTTGCTAGGAAGTAGAAATAACTTGACAGCAGGGAGTTTTTAGTGACCATAACAGGTTTGAGTTCTTCAGCAAATCTTAAATCTGAAGGTGGTCTTGGGGAGACCTCAATACAAAGGGACTTCATTTGTAAGCGTGTGGAGAAGATGAAATGCAAATCTGATTTTACAAAGGCAGATTCCTAATATTCCTTGATAAAGTGCTCATCTGCATGAACCAGCCAGAGCAGGACTTCTTGTTTGCAATTAAGTGCCTCCAACAACATTCCTATATTCTACAGACCACTTACAAAAGATAGAGGCAAGATAAAGACATTCCAAGATAAAAGGAAATTCTTCATAATGAAAGTAACTGGCTGAGAAAATAATTAGAATTCACATCAGAAAAACAAAGAAAACTAATCATTATATAATCACAAAAGAGAGCACAAACACATATTTTGTCATTTCTTAACAGATTTAAGAAAATTGTGTGAAATAATATATTATTACTAATAGAAGCACAAAGGGGGTGAGTTGGGGCAAAGGAGTATTGGACTCCAGATGGGAACTTGAAGCTAATTTATCCAGGGGAAAAAGCTCTAAATGATGGGGGCGGGGAAAGCCAGTCTTATCTAATCCAGAAGTTCTATGCTACATGATCTGATTTACATGAAATGTCTAGAATACATAAATTTATAAACATAGAAAGTGGCTACCTGGGGCTAAGGAAAACAGGATGGGGAGGACTAGTAAGTTAAAGGACACAAGGTTTGTGAGGTGATAAAAGTGTTCTCAAATGGTCTGTACTGATGGCTGTCATATATGTAGATATACACAGGCAAGCCACTGAATCAGTCTTCAAGTACGGGAACTATATGGTTTGTGTGTTGTATCACATTAAAGCTACTACAAAACAAGAACAGAGAACCTAGAAAACATTCTTAAATGCATCACTGAAATTTAAGTTTATTCAATTATTTGAAAATAGTATTTTTCATATTAGGCCAAAGGCAGGGGTGGCGGAATGGTTTTACTCTGCTGTTCTAGTGATAAGCTGCACTGCAATCCCAAAGGTTCAAATCCATCAGCTGGTCTGCAGAAGAAAAATGGGCAATTCCCTTCCATGTGAATTACTTCGTCTCAAAACCTTTTTGCGGGGTCAACTATGGTTTGGTTCTGACTCTACAGTACACAACATCATCAAAAATTTCCTTGTATTACTTGCCTCGGTGTAAAAAGAGGGAAAGGAGAGAGGAAATCACTGTTTAATGTATGTCTTCTATGTCAATTATTTTCCATTCTTAATTTAACTTAAAATCACAGATTTACCACATTTCACAAAAGGAGAACCAAACATAATCCCATCAAGTCAATTCTGACTCCCAGTGGCTTAGGACAAAGGAGAATTGCCTCAAAAGATTTCCAATGTGGTAATTTTCACATGAACAGATAGTCTCATCATTTTCCAGAGTGGCTGGTAAGTTTGAACCAAGGACTTTTCAGTTAGCATCATACCACTTAACCTGCTAGGCCAGCAGGGTTGTTTACATGTAGGTAAAATAAGGCACAAAGAGATAAAGTGATTTGCCCATGGAGATAAATGCCTCAAAGGCTGGAGGATTTGAATTTGTGTTTTTCTGACTCGAGGTCCTACCTCTTTCCATTTTCCCATGCTCCTTTTCTGCTTTCTTGGACTCTGAGTCCTTCGGGCTGACTCATCAGAGGCAAAGCACACTTACTTGGCAAGGCAAGGAGAGTGACATAGGTTTGGAGCTTCTCAAACACAGCTGTCATCTTTTTCATATCCTGAGACAGCTCCAGGTTCCTGGCTCGCAAAGCAGATGTGCAAAGAGAAGATTCACATTCTTCTTCTAAACTAGGAAAGGGCAGGTTGTTAAAAAGTGAGCATCCAGAACAATTTCACTGGCTACAATAAAACATCTTCGTTCTCAAACAATCATAAACAAAGACAGAGTCTGCAAGAGAGGCAATGTGACCTGTTTCTAAGAGTCAATTTTATACAAACACACATAGCAGGCATATATAACTGCTTGTCACAAACACCAGTGGAAGAATACAGACTTAAGACAGAAGCAAAGATAAAGGAGGACAACCCAAAGGCATGTGGTTCAAAACCACCAGTTTGCGGTTCCTTGGGAGAAAGGTGGGCAATCTCCTGTAACCCTGAGCGACTCACAGATCCGGGACCCTGCTCAAGGTCAGCTACGGGTCAGTTCCAACAGGATGGCAATGAGTCGGTTTTAGAGAGGGCAGCACAAAAGAAAGGTTTTCAAAATACTATTTACAAATATTTCCGACTAAATTTCTAAACAAAATGAAACATAAATGAGGCTGCCATCTGTACTAGCAGAAAGAATAATGAAGAAATCTTTTTTAATGTGTTGTTGTTGTTATGTGCCATCGAGTGGCCTGCGACTCATAGAGACCGTATGTACAGCAGCTCTGAAGCCTGCCCTGTCCTGAGCCAGCACACATACCCTCACTGCCCCAGTTACTCTATCAATCCATCACGTCTGGGGTCATCTTCTTTTCCACTGTGTAAATCTTTTCAAAAACCAAACAGATTAAACAAATTCTTTACTTTCATAAAATATATTTTAAATTTTAATACTTTGAACAATTTAAACATAAGTTAAAAACTATGAACTGGGGACAATGTGTATTTGAAAAAAAATGTAGATAACTGAGCAAAAATATTTTATACAAAGCGAGAAAAGCTGGCATACAAATCATAGTCATTCCTTTTCATTTGCTACTTTTTTCTCCTCCACTTCATAGAAGACAGCTTGATTCAATAGAGGTCACTTTGTCAATAAAGTAGTATTTACTACTCAAATGGCTACTTAAAAACATGCCTAATGCCTAAGGGAAGTCTAAAAACACCTAAAGGAAGGCTAAAAACATACCAGACAGGTTATTATAAGAACAGGAAGACCTAGATCAATAAAATATTTATGTAGTGTTGCTTAAATAGCTAATAGTGAAAACGGAATAAAACATGAATGTTTCAAGTAGTATGTGCTCTTAATGTTCTTAAACAGATTCTTTTCAAATATTCTTAAAAAAAATTAATAAATATACATCAAATCAGTAAGGTAAAAAAATCAGTAAGGTATAATCTATTTTAGCATGATTCAAACTTCGAGAGGTAATTTTAAAAAACATTTTTTTTTTTAAAAAAACACTTTAAATTATACTAAACCATAGTATGTAAGTATTTGAATAAATTATAATTCATAATTATCCATTTAAATAATAATTCCCTGATTACCCCAGGTACAAATTATATCATTCAGTTACTGAAACACTCTTAGGTTATAATGAGAAAAGAAGATAGCTCTTAACAACTCTTCTGTTTTTTATCTCCACATGGGCTGTGACTGTGGCTGCTCTTGTATGTACTCATAGCCGACCCTCCAGTTTGCAGGGACAGTTAATCATACAGGACGAGACTGTCCATCTCCTTCCCGTGGAGCAGCCAGCAGACTAGAACCTCACACCTCTGCGGTAGCAGAGCAATTCTTTACCATTAAGCCAACAGAATGCCTATTTCATTTTTTTTAGTAAAATTTTTATAATTTAGGAGAAGTTAAAATTTCATACCTTAGTTTTACTGGTAAAACTAAAGACTTATGGACTACAATTACTCGTGTATTTTCTGGTGATATGATAGGTTATACTCTGGGCTGCTAACTGGAAGGTCGGTGGTTTGAATCCACCAGCCTGCTCCATGGGAGAAACATGGGCAGTGTTCTCTCACAGCCTCCACCACAGAGCATCTCCAGGAATCAGAATCGACTTAGTGGCAGTGGCTTTTGGCTTTAGAAGTAAGTTATTCATCTAAATATTTTCTAAACGTGTACAATGATAAACACATGTTCTTATGTCTCCTGTGTTCCACTTTCATTATTCTCTGATTACTCAAAAAACAAACCACAATAACCACCAAAGAACTACCCTCGTATCTTAGGATGCAAAGATAACAAAAGAATTAAAAGAGCTTCAGTAGTTTTAGGCCCAAAGTATCAGTAACCTCCAAAACGTTTTATCACATTGCAAGTTACTTACATTGTTTCTTCTGTCTTTAAAAAAAAAAATTGTCACGTATTTGGGTTACTAAATGAGGCAAGGATGGCAAAACTCGGTCTCACATACTTTGGCCACATTATAAGGAAGGGCTAGTCCTTGGAAAGGTGGAGGGCCCGAGAAAGAGAGGAAGACTCTCAAATGAGATGGATAGACAGAGTGACTGAACAATGGGCTCAAGAGTGTCAGAAATGATGAGGCTGGTGCAAGATAGCACAGGGTTCAGATCCGTTCTTCATAAGGCTGCTAAGAGTCATAGTTGCCTCAAAAGCACCTAGCAACAAACAAGGCCTTCTATCTTGGTTTGAGTAGAGAAATAGTTTATAACTTAAAGAAATCACTAGTAATACAATAAGTAATAAATCTTTTCAAAGTAAACTAAGGATTATAGTGCTAGACTCGGAAGTTAGTTTAGAAGTTATTTTAGACAAAGGGATAATAAAAATCCAAAGCAAAACTATTTCTTTCAATAAATATACCATTCACAGTATTGAAAATGCTGGCCCCCAGTCTTTTTTCTTTTTAAGTGTGTGTGTGTGTGTGTGTGTGTGTATACTGTCAAACTGAATCTGATTGGTACAGGAGGAGATTGTCCCTCCTTCTGCAGCAGAGCATCTGGTGGATTCGAACCTCACATCTCTGGGATTGCAGTGCAGCTTCTTGCCACTAGGTGGCCCCCAGTCTTATGTGGTCATAGTTGTAATCACAGTTCAGACTACTGAAAACAGTCCCAGCAGACACTCAACTTCCTTAAATATAAGTTTATGCTGCTCCAGCTATGACCGACTTCTTAACAAGCCCAAATCGACTGTGATGCTGAATGGGCAGCCAGCACACAGCGGACACACCAGTTACTACTATTCTATTCCTTCCCGGCAGCTCCTGTGACATCCCAAGTTCACGTTCCTCCAGTGGCACGTACCTTTTTAACTGATAAGGAAGGATCTTTCTAAGAAAACAAATGTAGGAGGTGAGGTGCTCTGAGAACGTTTTCAATTTCACAGTTGTCTCCTGGAAAAGAAACCAGTTCAAGGTTAATAGTGTTATTGGGCAAAGGGGACCTCCCCCATGCAGAATTAATAACTAGTAGCAAATTACCAGGACAGTCACAGTATCCTCAGTGATACTTTCAAATAAATGGAGCATTCCTTCCTCAAGGGGGCGGACATAGGACGCGTTTTCATGAAGGTACTGGGAGAACTGAAGAGGGAAGGCATTGTGTGTTAATAGCAAATAACGATGATCAACAAATTAGTGACAACACTCAGTAAGTTATATTCCTAAATTCTTCTGAAACTGTTTTTCTTTTTTCATTTTAAAACCCAAGGAGGAAAACTCCTCTCAGTTCCAGATAACATCCCCCCCATACCATAACAAAACCAGGCACTGGCAGCAACGTGACACAGGGATAATGAGGCATCTAAGGAAACAAGCAGGGGTTGTAGGCCAGCTCCTTCCCGAGCGCCTGCTTCTCCACAGACGGCCCGGTTTTAAGGAGCTCTCGTAGCATGAAGTGTTGATAACTGTAAAGTGTCTAAGCTTAAAGGGGGGTAGGGGAGAGATTGTCCTAAATGAATAACACAGATTGCAGTGTTATTTCTCTCATTTTTAGACAAACCCACTGAGGGCCTGCTGGCCTTTACGGCACACAGAGCTCAAGGCTGACACGGTCCAGGAAGGTAAAGGAGCTCGGGGGTGCTGCACTGCTGCCTGGAAAGTCACGCTGCTCTCTGCTGGTTCAAATGCACCAGCCCCTCCACAGGAGAGGAAGATGAGCAATCTCCTCCCATGCAGTTAACCTGCGGGAGGATCAGCAGCGAGGTGATTCCGACACAACAGCAATGACTTTGACAACTATCATCACACTGAAGGCAAAGGTGATACAGCCTCTGGAATGAGGGGATTCTCGTCCCCGGAATCCTTTCAAACCATTCCCTTTCCCCCCCTCTCTTCAGTTCCATTCTTTGTGCTCACCATAAATGGGTAACTTCAGGATAACCGAGATTCAAAGTGGACTAAGTGCCTGCCATTCGGTGTTGGACTTACTGGTTCAAGACAAGCCTATAAATGTGAGTGCAGAGCCGGGTCCCGTGGGGTTTCTAACGGGTGAATGTCTGTGAGGACATCACTGGAACTTTGCTCTGAGGTGTCTCGAGGTGAACTCGAAACGCCAGCGTTTCACCCAGAGCAGAGTGTGTCAGCTGCTGGCACCACCTACAGGCTCCCAAGAGTCACTTAATAACAGAAGAAAAATGGTTGTTTCTGACTTAAAAGGACTGGGCTCCCTAGTTAAGTGAAAAATTCTCATTCAAGGCTTGTTTCCACAAAATTCTTCAGTTGAAAACTACCTCAGACTCCATAGAAGATTCCAAGGGGTTGAGGCAATTTATGAAGACAAAATATAACTTTCACTTTGGACATTTTCAGTTATGTGGATAATTTCTCCAATTTCTATTTCATAGTACAGACAGGTAAGGTCTCGTTTTACAGAACATGATTCAACTTAAAAATAAAAACTTACTGCTATCAAGTTAGAAACACATTATAGCTGATCCCTTCCCCCCCACACACCCCCCAGTGGGTTTTCAGAGGCTGTAAATTACATGGAAGATTGTCCATCTTTTTCCCACGGAGTAGCTGGTGGATTTGAACTCTCTGCTTTTGAGTTGGTGGCACAACTCCTTACTCACTAGCTCTGCTGAAAACTAACTAGATACGGGCATCAGGGAAGCCAACCTCCTGGGCTTTAATTTTTAGAGCTCTAATGCAAGCTTGAAGTTCTAAATATCCTTTGCATGGTCAATGAAACATAGGTAGACATTCCTCTGATACTTTCAGCTTTCAGCCAAGATTCATCTGACATTGGCAATAACGTCTCTAATGCCATGGCTTCTTCTATACTCAGCTTGTATTTTGGTAGTTCTTTGTCATTCTGGATAATCTTCAACAGGATATAGCTTTCATGTGGTATTAGTGATATTGTTTATTAATTTCCATACTCTGTTGGGTCACCTTTTTTTGGGATGGGAATAAATATGAGTATTTTCCAGTCAGCCAGCCAGGTAGCTGTCCTCCAGATTTCTTGGCACCACCTGATGAACATGCCCAGGACATCTGTTCGTTGAAATAAATCAACTGGCATTCCATCAATTCCTGGGGTTTTGTTTTTTGCCAGTTCTTTTAGAGCACGTCCACCTTCATTACCACTGCTTCTCAATCATATGTTGTTTTGTGAAATTCTTTTGTGTCAGTCAGTTCTTTATGGCATAATGACTCTTTGTACTTCTTCCATCTTCTTTTAATGCTTCCTGGATCATTCAATACTGTGTCTATAGCTTCTGGTGGCCTAGTGCCAAGAAGCTGTGCTGCAATCCCAAAGGCATGCAGTTCGCGGCCAATAGGATAAAGATGGGCAATCTCCTTCGGTGCATTAACTGCCTCTGAAAACCTGCTGGAGAGTCAGCTATGGGTCGGTTCCACCTCTGCGGTACACCACCACCACCACAACTCTCTCAATTAGAGTTAATAAAACCCCCAAATTATTCTGAGTTAACTTTACCTTCTGATTTAATGGAGATATAGTGTCAATGGCGGAATCAACAGGGAAAATCTGAATCCTCTGTTCGGTGTAAGTGTGGAAGTTCAGAAGGGCCGTCACAAGATCCTGAACAAAAGCCAGGGCCTGCCCGGCAATGTCCCGCATCTTCAGCTTTAAGGGTAAAAAGCAGCCAGTTGAAGCAATGATCAAATTGTAACTACAGTAACTTCATTCAGCCGTGCCTCTGGAAAACCCATTAAACACTAATTCTTCATATCTATCCCTCCCATGTAAACGTTAACATTTTTATCTGAGTAGTATAGAGTGAATAATCACTCTTCAAACACATATGGTGAAATCCTAAACCCTTCACAACCTGTAAGGATGACCCTGTTTGAAAACAGGTTTCTTTTAGTAGGTTAATGAAATCGTATTAGAGTACGGTAGGCCCTAAATCTAGTAACTTCTGAATTATAGAAAGAGTAGACACGTGCCAGGGGATGACAGACAGAAGGCGATCTGAAGGAACTCTGAAGGACACCAAGGATCTCCAGAGACACCAGGAACCAAGACAGAAGTCCACAGAAGAACTCATCATCAAAGCCCTAATCTGTCTGTTAGCCTTCAGAACTGTGAGAAAATTATCTTCTGTTCTTGAACATCACCCTCATCTGGTCTTTTTCCAATGGCAGCGCTAGCTTACTAAGACACTAAATAACAGGAAAGCCACCAAATACCTGTCCAGTTAACAGGATGCATTTAAAGTGCACAGGCTACCAATTTAGAAAAATGGACTGCTCAAAACAAATGAACAGAATTCACACTTTACTTCTAAGGTTATTAGGCAATAGATGCTGCAAGAAACTTGTATGACTTAGGAAAACTAAACAGAAAGTCGCACATTTGAAAACATGTATCACAAAGTGAAGCAAAAGCTCAGCACGGTGACCCAAGCATATTACCAGAGGCTCTAACAAGTCATTTCTCCAGCTGCTCTGGAGAAGCGTGGCATTCACGTCAATGAAAAGCAAAGCCCACGTTTCACCCTTTACCTGATGTCGCCTATTGTGGAGTGGGACGTTCAGGGCATTATAATGACTATATTCTAGAAAACAAAAAGGGACGCATATTAGGATGCTCGTTTTACACAAAGCATCAGAAAAACACTTCAGCTGAAAAACAGTGCATGCTCTGTGGTAAAATCCTATTGACACAGGAAATGTAAATGACAGTCACATGAAAACAATGGACAGTGAATTAGTGGCACCTCAGAAAAAGTATTATTTCACTTTTTCACCCTCAGATTACCACTCCTCTTCCCCCAAAAAAGTCCCCAAACTCTGTTTCCACTCCTAAAAAATCATTTCTGATACTCCCCTGGTGTTTCCAAGATTATTTAGAAAGGCTCACTGTCTCACCATCTGCATTCAACTCTCCTCTAAAGTCACTGTGCACGGCTGGCACCCCAAAATACCACTATTTCTGTGATACTACAGTATTAAAAAAATCTGCTGCTGTGTGTGACTCTGGACCCTAACAATGCAATCTTAGCTTTTCTGGGATGGTTTCAGTATCTGCCTCCCTGTCCTCCTCTCGACCCTAGACCTTGCTGTCACCCACATAGCTTTCCAGCACTCGCCCAGCCTCACAATTTCTCCACCTCCTGGTTCTTATGACTTTCATCTCTACTCTACTTGGGCCACACAAGCCTGCCTCTTCTGCCTGTACCCCAGAGCCAAATCCCACAGCCTTATCAAATTCTCTCATATGTTCTCATTCCTAACAAACTGACTCCCTGTTCCCAGCTTGGTCTTCCGCCCATCAAGTCTAGTAGATCAAAGTATACTGGTGATGTTTAGATTAACATAAATGCTAGACACTGGCCTCCACATTTCCTTTCCAAGGAGGAAGGTCCATCCCATCTTTGTATGTAACTTTCTAATAAATCTATCTTTACTTTTTACCTTAAAAAAAGGCTAGAAACTTGTCTTTTCAAAGGAGAACATCAGTTTTTGACAGAATGATGATACATGCTGAATTCTATGTTAAACTACTGTTTCTTTCCTTCCCCCACCTCGTGCCAAAGAAAACTTTAGAATAAGCGAAAATTAATTTCAGTCATGTGACTGCAGAAAAAGGAAATGTGCATCAGTTTGATTATAAGTTGCAAAATCTAAACTACTAAGTATCTTCTTGGCATTTAGGGATACAACTTTATTGTTTTCTAGAGATGACACATTTTCCACTGGTCATGTATATAAATGGATGTTTCCACAAGTTTTTGTTGTTGCTGCTGCTTTGGGGTGTACAGGCTCCCACCCAGGCCACACCACAGTGAACAGGAAACTGGGCTTGTCTGAACCAGCCTCCTGACTGTCAGTGAAGATCAGACGATATCAAAGGGCAGAAGGCCCAAGACAGCAGCAAGGAAGATCCCTCTCCCCACAACACTGAGAGCAAAAACATTTCCTATACACCCATTAGGAACTCTGTGTGCAGGCTGTTTTTTACCCTGAGAAATGCTAAATACATCTGATATACATATATTTATAGGATACGGATGGCTCCGGCAAGTTGGTGTGACGCTGCAAGATGGCTTCTTGTGTCTTCATAAAGGTCACGTATGGCATGTTTGGTGGGTTTTTTTAGCTTTATTTTCATTCACAAGTGGGTGTCAGTGGATTGGACTTGCCAGATGGACTTGGGGTGTTTGGTTTTATAGTCCACCAGCATTTGGGCATGCCTGAATTTAAAAATGCGGTAGTGCTTGGCTAAGTCTGCAGACTTAGCTACAAGACGCTCTCTCGCATCTTGATAAGGGCCAAGTGTTAATTGATTTTGGGATGAACAGTCTTTTAAGTGGTACAGCAGTGGTCTCTCTATTTGCTGTACTTAAGTTACCTGGAGTTGTTGTAATGCACAACAACTGTGCTATGTTGTTGTTATGTGCTGTTGAGTCACCTGCGACTCATAGTGACCCTATGTACAACAGCCCTAAACCCTGCTCTGTCCTATGCCAATCTTATTGTCTCTAACACACCTATCTCATTACCCCAGTCAATAAATCAACCCATCTCATCGAGTGTCTTCCTCTCTTACGCTGTCTCCACCCTCCCAAGCATGATGTCCCTCTCCAAGGACTGGTCCTGCCTTGCAACATGTCCAAAGTATGGCAAAAGAAGCTTCAGAAGCCTTGCCTCCAAGGAGCAGCCAGGTTTCACCCTCTTTAGGACAAACTTGTTTGTTTCCCTAGCAGTCCATGGTATGTATATTCAATATTCTTCTCCAGCACAACAGCTCAAAGGCATCAATTCTCCTGCTATCATCCACAGTCACTGTCCAGCTCTCTGAAGCATAGCAAGTAACTGCTAAGACCACGGCCTGTATCAGGCGTACCTTAGTCTCCAGACTGACATCATTGCTCTTCAGTATGCTGGAGAGGTAGTTCTCTGATAGCAGACTTTTCCAATGCAATTCATCTTTTTATTTACTGGCTGCTGGTATCAAAGAGTGTTGACTGTAGAGCCAAGCAAACTAATGCTGTTACTAAGCTCAATCTCTTCACCATCCATCATGATGCTATCAATCGGCCCAGTGGTGAGAATGCTTGTTTTCTTGATGTTGAGCTTGTTATAGGTGTGTCAAACACTACAATGGCTACCAATAGTGGGCAGTATTTGATGGAGCTCCCAGACTGATTCAGGTTTGGAAGCAGAAGTGGCATCCACTTCCTAAACCACATGCCTCTGGAAACTCTATGAACTTGGAGAAATGATGATAGTTATAAAAAGGCTTCAGGCTTTGTATTCATAGGGTTGCTATGAGTCATGCTCGACTCAATGGCAATCAACAAGAAGATATTATTTATACACACACATATATGTAAAATCTCCATATACATCTATTGTGTGTATAGATGTGTATATATACATATATGTGTGTATATATGTATGTATGTGTATGTATGTATGTATGTATGTATGTATATGCGTATTTCGATTTGGGCTACCTCCAAGAAAATTCGCTTTGGCGTTACATGTTAATCAGAAATCTCTCCTCTGAAGTATGAAGGCCAAATCTCATGAAAAGAACAAGGAGGAGGCAACTCTATATTGTGCCAATTAAATTTTCTGCCAAATAGATTAAAATTTTTTTAATTAGTTGACGATGACAAGCAGCTGCACTGCAATCCTGAAGCCAGGTAGTTCAAATCCAACAGCTGCTCTGGTGGAGAAGGATGGGCAGTCTCCTCCCATGCGATTAACTGCCTCTGAAAACCCACCGGAGGGTCAGCTACGGGTCAGTTCCGACTCGATGGTACACAAAAAGTCAACAACCACAGTTCAAAGTGTATTTGTAAATAATGGAAAAGTGTACATAATACCTACTTGTATCATTAAAAGGTACTTTCTCATTGATGATTGATAAGGATTCCTCTAATCTACCTGACAAGTCTTCATGAAGATTCTTTAATTGCAATTGACTGAAAGAGAAAGAATACGAAGAATGTCAACACCAATCAGACAGTGCATCTTCATGTGCATGTCACCTCGACATACGTGGTACGTTAGAGAGTTGTAGCTTACATCTGGGACACTCTTGGTGAATTACTAATAGATAAAGACAACAGAAATGCTAGGCCTCAACTTTAAATGGCCCGGGCCTTTTGCTAAACGATGTGACATTTACAAGACTTCATTACCATCTCATTGTCTTGTACAACACAGTAGACACTGTTATTTCCTCAAATTCAAAGTAATTTTCAGTCACTTCAAAATCATAAATTTTCTCATGATTTGTAAACTGTTCATTCAAGTATTCATTTAAACAATGCAGTTATTGTTTTTAAAAATGATGTCAGATCATTTTCCTGAGCTCACAGAAAATCAGCTGATAATTTTACTGATTTCAGTTCAACCACCAGAATAAATACACAACTGAACAGTGTGTAAATTCTGCTAATGTAAGTAAATTCAAGTAAGAAATACCCTTGAAGTGATCCTACTGAAACTTAAAGTATTTCATTATTTATTTACATTTACTAAAGTATTAAATTATTTATCAATTAAGGGGTTATATAGCTTTTCTCTCCTATCCAGAAGAAACATTTTAAGATTTCATTATCTCCAAAATCAAATCTCTGTTTAAGTCATAAAACACATAAAAAGATTTACTTAATGTTCACATTTAAAATGTAAAAAATGTACACAGAAGTTGCTAAAGTCAAAACAGAAAAGTGTTCCAGTCCTTACTTCCGCCTCCCCCTCTTAGACTGATTTCCACGTACCATTCTTCTGTTCGAAGCCGACATTCCTTGGCCTCCTTTTCCAAGGCCTGAGATTTTACCTAAATTTTCAAGAAAGAAAACCAGTAGCAGTTGGCTTGGGAACAATTGGAAGCAGTCTTAGCAGACAGTCTGGGCATGGGTCTGTCTCGCTCTGGACAATGAACTGGGGCTCTGGACGGCTTACTTCTAGTTTGGCCTTGTCATTCTGCAACTTCTCGATGGTGTCCATGTACTTTCGGGTCAGGCCATCGACCACGGCTTGATGCTGGGCTGCCTCCGTCTCCAGGGCCGACAGGCGACTCCTCAACTCGGCCTCCACATGCTTGTGCTGCTCATCTGCTTCAAAGAACTGCGAGGAAAAGGGGATTGCTTTTCTCCAGACAGCCTCATACACACAAGTAAAAAGAAAGAGAACAGCAGCCAATCCTTCCTGAACAACTCCCAGATGACTCCACAGGTGCCAAAATCTACCTTGGCATCATCTGCGTGAGTCCTCACAACCGATCAACGTCAGCCCCTTCAAGCTGTGGAAACCAAGCTTCAGTGGGGTGACGAGACTGGTCTAGTGTCTCACGGCTAAAATGTAGCGGAAATGAGATCTGGACATGGGAAATCTACTCCAGAGCTTCCTTCTTCCCAGTCACACAAACAAGTCTTTCAAAGAGGGAGTAATTTCAAATTTAACTAGTCACATTTTCTATTAGGCTATCTGCCACAATTAGACAATCACCACTTACAGAAATGCTATTCTGGTGGCCTACTGATAACAAGCTATGCTGATAATACAAAGGCACACAGTTCTAATCCACCAGCCACTTTGCAGGAGGATGGCCAGTCTCCTCGCTGGGATTTACTGCATCTGAAAGCCCTCTGAAGGGTCAGCTATGAACTGGCTCCAACTTGACGACACATAACAATAGCAAAACATGTAAATTTTTTCCCCTTAATGTGAGCCCGTCATGACTTAAGTACGATAAATGCTTAGACAAAAACCTGAGGTCAAAGGGGTATTCTGTAAATATTTTCAAAGACTGAGAATTAGTACTTATTTATTTAACCATTAGATTGTTGGGGGGGAAGAAACCAAGAGATATACTTGGATATACTACACTATAATTCTTACAAGAAAATGATAGTTTGAGGGTAGTTCACTCATAACTCCTCGACATCCCACAGACATCTGAGTGCCCAGCCCCGGAGAGACATTTTTCTGAGTGGGGCATACAAAAATCAACTGACTTTACAGCTGATATAAAAGCAATGAAATATCACTAAATTAAAAAGCAAACATTAATTATGGATAAATGATTCCTCCAATCACTGCCCACATCAAATGAAGTTTCTATATATTTTCTATATTGTCAAAAGCTATAAGTTTCTTCTGCTCTACTGTGAACAAACAAGGAACTCTGGTGGCCTGCTGGTAAGAAACTGTGCTGCAACTCCAATGACATGTGGTCTGGATTTACCAGCTGCTCCGTGGGAGAAGGATGGGCAATCTCCTCCCATGCGATTTAATGCCTCTGAAAACCCGCCCAGAGCGATCAGCTATGGGTTGGCTCTGACTCCATGGCATTCAACAACAAAACGTGAGCAAGGGCGCACTTCAAAGCACACTCCTTATTAAGATTTGAGAAATGAGTAAATGGTACGGCCTACACCCTTCAGACTAAAGGAGACGTGAAAACACCCCACATACACAAAGCCTCTACCACATCTGCACTGGGGTGTTTCCACATTCTGTGTGATAAAACCCATTTCTCACTTCTTCAGAAAAAGCAAAGATTTACTCACTTGTATATGCAGTCGTTCATTTTCCTCTATCTTCTTTTGCAGATCTTCATCAAAGACACTTTTCTGCTCTTGGCTCAACTGAGAGGAGGATTCTCCACCTTTCTGATGGAAAGAATAAGTTATGTCCACCCGACATTAACCCTTCAGGGAAGCAGGGACTAGTTCGCTGTCAACTGGGGAGCTCTCTCTCCTGGGTTCAGTGAGTCTCAAAAGGCACAATGTCCATCACTTAAACTTTCCTGTGAGACACAAGTTGGATCTATAAATATTGCAATGGACAGGACAGTTTTAAAAAGAGAAAGGAAAAGAGAAGAGGGAAGGCGTGCTATTCTTCTAGAGGAATTCACACATAATTTTGCTGGAAGACAGCAGATCCAGAAAGCTTGCAATGTAAATGTGCAAAGAAATGCCTGTCCAATGTGATCTTGGTGTTTGGGAAATGACTTTTTAGCACCTGTATGAATCGAGTTGTTAAACTAAACTCCTTTAAGAAATTTTAGAAAGTTGCTTAATAATAGTCATAAAAACTAAGTTTTTCTACAAATATATATTAATTTCTAATTATTTTTTTTAAGTGTTAATCATACAAAACAAAGCTGAAAGAAATAAGCAGAAGATAAAATCTTAGGGCTTATGAAAAATACTTTTACTTTATTAATTAATATTTTCTAGTGAGAAGAATGGCTCTATTTTAAGAGACCCAGTAATGTGCATTTGTTTTTACACACTACAAAGAACTGAGACTATTCAAAAGACAGGCTAACAATGAATCTGTGTTCATTCATTAATCACCACCCTTCTCTGCCTTTCTCATGCCCTCACTCTTCACTTCAAATGAAGTCACCTAAAGAGTTAAAATGACAAGTTAGCTCAGGAAACACTGACAAACCCTTTGAACATGAAGCTGCTATACTGAAAAGCATTAAATATTCACCATGTTTAGAACACAAGAAGTCATAAGGAACACTGCTGATAAAGTACTCTGGGTCTGGGGCCCTTCCAAATTCAGAAAGCTACGGTGGAAACACATTCAAAAGTTTTATACCCAGGCCCCTGCACAGTGCTCAGCCAAGGATCTAATAATACAGGATTGCTGAAGAATGGTTAGTCCCTCCCCAGGGTCTTTCAGATTTTCCAGGGCATGTGTATTCCTGGAAAGTATCTCAAACTGTTCTAATACCTACCTGATTTCTCTTCTCTGTTCCCCTTTTATTGGGAAACTACTGCTCAAGAGAATTTTTCCATCAAAAAAAATAAATAAAAATCCACATGTGAAAAGAACTAAGTCAAATGCTTATTATGTACCAAATATAGTCAGGGCAGAAAGAACTGCCTGTCCTCATAAGAAGACACTCTTAGAAAACATATACGCTATGGACTTATTATACAAGCCGAGAGTGTCCCCATGTGATTTACTGCCTCTGAAAATACACTGGAAGGACAGTTACTGGTCAATGTCATCTCAACAATACACTGAAACAATAAAGTATGTTTCAGCTGCTACTTTCAGATCTTAGGAATGGGAGATACACCTTGGCAATGCTTGGTCATTCTATTTCGTTTTAATGGCAACTTCGTAAAAGATACCAACAATTTTGACCACTATGAGATTTACAATTACTTTTATCAGTCATGAATTCAATCACGTGCATGTCTGATCCTACTATATATTTTAAAACTTAAGTTCAAACACATCCTTTGCTACAAAACATTAATGAACATTTCGATCAAAGATTCTATAGAAGAATGCTGAGCAGAAGGGTGAAACGTAGAACATAACTTCAAATTCCTACAGATTCCAGATTTTCTAAAGTCATGGAAAGTGGATAATCTTTAAACCTTTAAAATAAATTTTAAAAATTGCCCCCTAAGATCTTCACAAAACTGAAAAATAGTTTCCCAAATGTAGTGAAAAAAAAGGATGCTGTTTTAAGAACTATGTATATGATGAAACAGGCATAAGAAACTGAAAGATTACACAAGTCTCTTAGGAGACAAGAGTTCACGTTAATGAGGAAGGAACTCAGAAAGAGATGGTTAAGAGTGGCTGTACGACATGATGAAAATAATCCACTTCTCTCAACTGCCCACGTGGAAACTTAAGTTAGTCTGTTTCACTGTGGGTAGTCTCAGCAACAACAATTTTTTTTATTAAATCTAGAGGGGGGAAAAGGTCACATAAAATACATCTACACTGAATAAATATTAATGGCAAATGCCTGTCATTTTGGGGTGAGGGTTTATTTTAAAAGAAAAGGATGCCCTGCAGCCTTCTGTGTTTGATGACAAGATCACACCCATTTGCATTTATCTGAATCTACCTTGTTTTTCTTGCCTCGAGGTTCACTGAGAGCCAGTTCATCCTGAAGTAGTTCTACCCTCTTGGCAAGCTGCAGATTTCGAAACGTCAAGCTGTCCATTTCCTGTTGCAGTTTTCTCAAGGACTGATCCTTCATTTTCAGCTGTTCCTGCAGCAAAGTGAGCACAGACCACATTGACAATTTAGCCTGAAGGCTCAGAAATAGCATAAAGACATGCTTTTTGATTCATTAAAACATAATCAAGACCACTTGCTTTAGGGCACTGAACCTCTATGTTTACCATTCGGGTACTCGTGTCATTCGTTAGCTGTTTTGTAACAAAACCACTTTTTTGCCAAAGTAAATTTAAAAAATAAAAGAAAAACCACAAATACATTGAAGTTAAAGATAGTTAAATAAAAGTTAAAACGCCCCCAACTATATGCTGTCCGATATATGATGATTAAAAGATGCAAAGCCTGAGGCTACAAATATATGAACCTGAATTTTTAAGGAGAATCAAAAATTCATCAGTGAGTAAAAACAGGAATAAATATATTTATGTTCTTTTTTCTATAGACTCTCCTGTCAGCCCATCTCATCCAGGGTCCTCCTCTCCTGCACTGACCCTCCACTCTTCCAAGTATAGTGTCCTCCAAGGACTGGCCCTTCCTAGCAACATGCCCAAAGATTGTGAGATGGAGTTTTATAATCCTTGCCTCCAAGGAGCAACCTGCTTTTACCCTCTCCAGGGTCTGTTCTCTTGGCAGCACATGGTACATTCAATCTCTTCTCCAGCACCACAACTCAAAGGCATCAATTCTTCTTCTGTCATCCTTATTCAACATTCAGCTTGCAGATGTATTAACAAGCAATTGAGATGATCAGAAACTCGACTGAGTGCACCTTAGTCTCTTGACTGATATCCTTGCTCTTTACACTATGGAGAGATCCTGTGACAGTACATTTGTCCAAAGCAACTCATGTTCTGATCTACTGACCACTGGTTTCAAGGGTGTTGTTTATAGATCTGGGAATGATGAAATCATTAAAAACCTCAATATTTTTCCCGTCTATCTTGATGCTGCCTACTGGCCTGGTGGTGTGGATCTTTGTTTTCTTGCTGTTGAGATGCAATCCATACCAAAGGCTGCAGTTCTTGATCCTCTGCACCAAACATTTTAACTCCTCTTCAGTTTTGGTAAGCTGGGTTGTGTCATTTGCATCACATAAGTTATTGAAGAGTCTTCCTGTAATCTTGATTCTTCTTCATAAAGTCTAGCTTCTCAGATGATCTATTTACCAAATGATAGACTGAAAAGATAGGGAGAGAGGACACATCCCTGACACACTCTTCTTGATTTCGAACCAGGCAGTATTCCCTTGCTCCATTGAGACAACAGCTCTTGGTCTCGGTATAGATTTCGAGTGAACACAAATAAGTGTTCCAGGATTCCCATTCTTTTCAATGTCAGGCACAATTTGTTGTGATTCACACTGTCAAATGCCTTTGCACAGTTGATAGAACACAAATATACATCCTTCTGGTACTCTCTGATTCCAGCCAAGATCCATCTGACAACAGCAATGATATCCCTAGTGTCACAGCCTCTTTTAAACCCCACTTGTATTTTTGGAAATTCTCTGATGACATAGTGTTCTGGTTGTACTTGAATAATCTCTAGCAAGATTGTGCTTTCTGCTTTCTATGAAGATGGTGTCGAAAGCGAAGAAGGAAGCCCCTGCCCCTTCCAAAACTGAAGCCAAAGCAAAGGCATTAAAGGCCAAGAAGGCAGTCCTGAAGGGCATCCACAACCAAAAAAAAAAAGAAGATCCGCACGTCACCCACCTTCTGGCAGCCTAAGATGTGGAGACTCCAAAGGCAGCCCAGATACCCCTGGAAGAGCGCCCCCAGGAAAAATAAGCTTGACCACTAGGCCATTATCAAGTTTCCCCTGACCACTGAGTTAGCCATGAAGAAGACAGATGGTAACAACACACTTGTATTCATTGTGGATGTCAAGGCCAACAAGCATCAAATTAAACAAGCTGTAAAGAAGCTCTATGACATTGATGTGGCCGAGGTCAACACTTTGATTAGGCCTGATGGAGAGAAGGCGGCCTATGTTCGACCTGCTTCTGACTATGATGCTTTGGATGTTGCCAACAAAACTGGGATCATCTAAACTGAGTCCAGCTGGCTAATTCTAAATACAATTTTTTTCTCACACACAAAAAAAATTGTGCTTTCATGTGATATTAATGATATTGTTTGATAATTGGCATGATTCTACATTCTGTTGGATGTATTTTGGGAATGGGAATAAATATGGATCCCTTTCAGTCAGTTGGCCAGGTAGCAGTCTTCCAGATTTCTTGATACAATCTGGTCAGCACATCCAGGGCTCCATCTGTTTGTTGACATATGGAAACCAGTATTCCATCAATTTCTGGGGCCTTACTGCTTGACAGTGTCTTCAATGCAGTTTGAACTTCTTCCTTTTAACCACTGGTTCCTGAACAAATGCTACTCCCTTAAATGGTCTGTGTCCGCCAATTCTTTTCAGTACGGTGGCTCCATGTATTCTATCTTTTTTTATGTTTCCTAGATCATTCAATTTTTTGCTCAGAGCTCTTTAAGTAGTACAGCTCAAGGCTTTAATTTGTTCTGCAGTTCCTTCAGCATGAGAAATGCTGAGCAAGTTCTTCCCTTTAGATTTTCTGACTCCATCTCTTTGCATGTTTCATTATAACACTTCACTCTGATAGGTAAAAGGTAAAAATCTACAACAGAGTACAAAATACCTTCAGATGTTGTCATTATGTACCATCAAGTCGAATGCTACACACAGATACCTAAGAACAACAGGAACCCAGCCCTAGCCTGCACTATCCTCACCAACTCCCACATGCTCAAACTCACTGTCAACTCACTTCAAAACTAAGTGAAATTAGGGGTGGGGGGATTTTTCCTTTTCTATGGCTTGCTTTTTACTTGGAGTTCAAAGGTAAACCACAGATCAGTCTCATGCCTATATTATCACGTATTTTAGCTCAATGAGCATTTATTAAACTCAATAATAAAACAAGATGCATAGTTAATAAAATCAAAGCCTTGCTAAAAAAAAAGAGGCTCTCCTAACATTCCTTTATTTAAAAAAAAACTGGAAAATTGCCATTTTCATTGTAATTACACCAACTACCCCAAGGAGTGGTAAAACGAAAAAATGAATTTATAACGCTCTAACTTCATCAGTCAATAATTAATTTCAAAAGACATCTGTCGCCACTTCTCTTTCAACCCCTACTTCTGCAGCAGGGTGACAGTAATGTTACCTACCCTCAAAGGGTTGAAGATAAATTGCACTAATGGATGATGGTTAGCACAACGCCGGCCACGAGCGAGTGCTCAGCTAGAACCTGCCGTCCCCAAGACCTCTGTCACTACCATGACTGTCATTATCTCTGCCACAGAGGTCATCTAACAGTCCCAGTAACGGGAGGGTGTCTGACACCAGGACAGGCTACTAAATACAAGTTAGGAAAGATTTCTCCCAGCAACAAGCTTAAACAGCATTAGGAGAAATAATAATCTCGTAGCCTAGTGGAAAAGGAGTTGCACTGTCAACCGCAAAGCAGGTGGTTCGAATCTACCCTAAGGTAGAAAGGCAGGCATTCTCTCCGCTGTGATGAGTTGATTCTGGCTCGATGGCAATGAGCTGGGCTTTTTCTTCAGTGATTTGGGTGAAATAATCTCAACCTGGGAGCACAGAGTGGGGGGCTCTGCACCATCTCAGTCCAAGACTGTGGAAAGTGTTTAAGGAGGGGGCACCCTCAGTGATGACTTCTCTTGTGTCGGGGCCAACGACTCACACACTAAGTAAAGGATACATTCGAGTCCTGGGTATCCGAGTGGCTCCATCTGGGCACTGTTACTGGTTTGGCGCTACCCTTCAAAAGATTCCAGGGAATCACATCCCTTTTGTTTAAAACAGAGAGTGGAACAGGCAAACTGTCCATCTCCATCAGGCCAATTCCAGCTCCCCAGGACAGAGTACGGCTGCCCAGAGGGTTCCAGGCTGTGACTCTTCAGAGAAGCACACTGCCACCTTTTCCTTCAAAGAAGCAGCTGGTGAGCTCAGGTAGCTGACTTTTTATTGGTGAGGAGTTTATCACTTTAACTACTTCACCACTAAGGCTCCCTGGTAGGCTGAATAGTACCTGAAACCTGGCCAAGAAGAAATTCATCTCCTACAATTAATTATTATAATACAAATCTCATATGCAGTATTTATTACATGCCTCCTAGAAGAAAAGAGACGTAAATTCCTACATCCTCTCCATACTTCTTTTTTCAGTTGAACTAACGAAGGTGCTGACAGTGACATGCATCACTCAAGCCTTATTTCCTGATGAGCAGATCATTTGTCACACTACTAAACAAACAACAAATTAATGCACTAAACGGCTCAGAGTAGAAATCCACTACGTGAGTGAGGAATTGCGCTGCCAACCCAAAGGCAGATGGTTTGAATCCACCGGTTGCACTGAGGGAGAAAGACGGGCACTCTCCTCCGGCTCAGGCTGCCCACCTCGCAAAGCCAGGGGAGGGTCTCCATTATTCTGAATCAACTCAGCAGCAGCGGGTTGTGGCTGCTTTCCCACGTTAAGCTCTGGGGATGGACATAGGACGATCTTGACACAGCACTGCACACAGAGCCCCGTGTACTCAAAAAGACAGACATTGTTGGCAGGTGTTCTCGAGTACGATCCCTAGCGACCCTGTGAACACCAGACCGCCCCTCCTCCTGTCCTGTGCCATCCTCATCATCTCTGACACACGTGAGTTCAGTGCGGCAGTCACCGTGTCAATGCTCCTGTTTGGGGTCCTTCTTCTCTTTCACTGACCCTCCACCTTTCCAAGAAAGATGCCCCTTTCCAAGGCTTCTCATTAATCCAGGGAAATTCACCTACATAAAGACCTTGAAGTATCGGAGAAATGCATTACTGTTAAATAATATTGAGGGATTAATTTTTAGCCATAAAGATCAAAGTACATAAAATGCAAGCCTAATAAGTAGGCACATCACACACAGACAAAACCTGTATTTACCATCTTGGGTGTTTAGTGAATAAATGTCAGAGTTGGGACTTCAACCCAGAAAACTTGCTCAAAACTTGCCCACGCACAACCTTTGCCCTCACAACACAGACACCCGGTTACATACCTTTAAAGCAGCAGAATTCGCTTGTTCATCCACGACTCCCTTTTTCAGGACCTGATTCTGTGCGCGAAGCTGAAACGAAGGAAGCAGTAGTTGGATTTGTACTGTAAGGCACTCGTGCGTAAGGGAATCGATTACACAGCAAGAACGACGGCAATGAGCAACTTCCTTATCTGCTCGCATGTGCAGGAGGATGGAAGAAACGGAAACCAAAGGGGGGGTAAATGTCACAAGTCTGCCACTTTCAGTTGGGAACACTGAGCCACCCAAAGACATAAACAAAGCAACGACAAAAATGGGTCGAAAATGCACATCTCCTGACCTCCATCCAATTCTTCCTGTGAAGCCCACTCACTTCCCTAAGTAAAACAAACAAAAAACTCACACCAAAAAAAAACCCCACAAAACAACAGTACAATAGTGAAGTTCTGAATGTACCGTTTCCTTGAAATTCTGGTGCAGCACTCATCTGTAAAAAAGACAGAACTGGACGGATGAAGGAATAATAACTACAGAGAGAACCTAACAGGGGCATCACCAAGCTCGGTGAGATTCCAGGCCTGATAGCAGATATGCAGAAGCAGTTACGAAGTGGCAATGGCCTGGGGCTCAGCAGGTCTGCCAACAGGCATCAGCTATAAACAGGACAGTCTATAAACAGGACGAATAAGCAGGACCAACTTAACAACTAATAGTGACAGCAGCTAGAAGGGGCACCAGGCACTAAGGGCCTTAATGCAGGAGTTCGTCTGATCCTCACAACTGATGAGGCAAATACTATAGTCAACGCAGAAACAGGGACACTGAGAAGTCAGGGGTAACGCTGAGATTCAGACACAGCAGTTTTGCGTCACAATGCCAATTAGTGTAAATGGGTGGTTATTTCACAAAGTTACAATTCCACAATCAAAGCAACAGGGAGGAGAAGTGGGGAACATCTTTGCAGAAGACTTGAGAGTCTTTTCTTTTTAAATTCAGAGATAATTTCAAATCCACCAGGTGCTCCACTGGAGAAGGAGGGGCAATCTCCTCCTGTGCCAGTCAGACCTCATTCAATGGTACACAACAACACACAAAAAAAGAGATAATTTCAACATGAACTGTGACTCAGAGTAACCTTATGAACAGCTGTGAACTTCGTTCTGTCCTGCATCACATCACCCTCACCATCTTCACCTTGCTGGGGCTCATGGACAGAGCCACTGTGTCAATCCAGGGTGTTGAGGGGTCTTCCTCGCTCTTTCTGCTCTTTCCCTTTTTCCAACACAATGTTTTTATTCCAAGGGCTGGTCCCTCCTGATAATAAACCCAAAGCACGTCAGATGACGGTTCACCATCCTCTTCTCTTAGCAGCTGCCTGGTGGCACTGCCTCCCAATACAGACTTGTTTGTTCTTTTCTCCACGGGACCAGTCAGTACAAACCTTCTCCAAAACTATAACGCAAAGGCGTTGATGATTCTTCCGCCACCCTGATGTAGTCAAACTGTCAAATGCATAACATAACTAAAAAGACCATGGATTGGATCAGGTGCACCTTGGTCTCTAAACTGATTATTTCTGCTCTTTAGCACTTTAAGAGAGGTCTTCTGACAGCAAATTTTTCCAATGCAACAAATCATTTGATTTCTTGACAAATGTTACCAGGAATGTTGACAGTAGGTCCAAGTAAAAGAAAATCACTGACGTCAGTCTTTCCTCCCTGAATCATGATGTTGCCTGCTGCTGTGGTGGTGAAATGTAGAAATCAAAATGGTATGTATTACTAAAGCACATAACCTGAAGCACAGAAATAAAAGTTAAAAATCTTAAATGTTTCCTTATGTAGACCTTTATAACCACGGGCAAGATTTTAGAAAATAAACTGCACTTCTGTGGTAGGAAGTATTCTTAGCACATAAACACAAGTATAAAACCCTACATCGCCAAAGCCAAAGGCTTCTAGGCCTGTATTCTAAGGTCTCTGGGCTGAGACCGTGAGAGCTCACGGTTCTTCTCTGAGAAGCTGAAGCAACATGACAATTTTACCCATGAGCTTAAGAAATAATCTTTTTCTAATGCTGCTCAGATTTGTCTCCTGAGAACTAAACTGGCCCTTTTCCGTGCCAAAAGAGCAAGGATATGTATTTGAAACACAATAGAAAATATGGCTAAGATTCTAAGGAGTCAAATAAAAGAGTATAGCAGCAAAAGACAAGACTAAAAAGGGGCACTGCTTTGATTTTTAACAAGCTGAAGGTCACAGTTCATGGTCTCCACAGAACTAGACCCAGTTCTTGCTTCCATCACATACGAGGCTATATGAACTTTTACCCTCTTCAAGCCTCCATTACACGGTCAGGAAAATGGGTCAATGTATTTGCTCGGTCATTTTTCTTCTGTTGTTGTCAGAGTTACATGAGAAAACAATGTCAACTCACATCTCAAGCAGAAAGTACAGACTCAGGGGGACAATTCTAAATCATGACGAACAGAATCAGAGGGACAAGAGCTGTCATTATTGACATTTATCTGATATCGGGCATTGTGCTAAATAAAAGATAGGAAAGAAGAGGAAGAAGGAAAAGAACATCTCTTACCATCTAGAAAAAAAGACAAAAATACCAAAAGTTAGCTAGAGTACAAGTATTTCCTGTTTTTACAAAAGTTGCAGAGACATGAAATTCTCTCGAGCAGGAATCGGCACACTGAGGTCTGTAAGCCAAATCTGGGGTCTGCTCCCCGAGTCTGTCAACCGGAACACAGCCCCGCTCACTCATGCACTGTCTATGGGTGCTCGGGGGCTTAAAAAAACCAAATAGGTGCAATAGAAACCATATGGTCCCAATCCGAAAGCATTTCCTATCTGGAAACAAGAGAAGTGCAGCAACTCCTGCCCTAGTAGTGCAGAAGAGAAAAACAGTACTTTAAGGCTGACTTCTATCATCTGGAGCTCTGGTAGCCTAGAGGTAAGGAGATGTGCTGCCAATCCAAAGGCAGGTGCTTCGAATCCACTAGCAGCTCCTTGGGAGAAAGATGAGCAGTCTCCTGGCAAGCGATTCACTGCCTGGAGAAAGCTGGTGGAGAATCAGCTCTTTGTCAGAACACAATTACTTCAGGAAGCCCTGGTACCTAGTCTGTAGGGACCTGTGATGCTAATGCAAAGGACCAGCTCTCTAGAAGTTCAAATCCACCAGCTGCTCCTCTGTGTGATTCAAGTGCCTCTGAGAACCCACAGCAGCACATACCACCAATCCGCCACGTTCCCCACATGACTGAACTCCCAGCTGGCACTGCAGTCGGCAGGGCGTTCTCACAAGCTCTTTCTCCTCACCAACACTCACCCCACCGGGGAGGCTAATGCAAGGTTTCTGGGTTAGACACAGAACTGGGAAAAGACATTATCAGATAGTCCCGAAAGCCTCTAGCAAAGTGCGGAAACCTCAATTCATCTGAGTGTGACTAAGAAACAAATGTCCTCAAGGCTTTATTAGGACTGGAATACTCTCCGTAAGGCAAGGTCACCTATTTCCAGAAGCTGTACACTGAGCTTGTCTATCCCATTAATGAAGGAATAACCGGTTGCTGTCAAGTCAATTTCTCCTCAGAGTGACCCTGAGCCCCAGCCCAGACACCTTCTTCCTATGTGCCATCAAGTTGGAAGCAACTCAGAGCTGACTCTCCAGTGGGTTTTCAAAGGCTGTAAATTAATTTACACAGGAATCAATGGGATACCAGCTGCCATAGTTCAACAAACAGATGCAGCCCTAGACCTGCTCACCAAGCTATGCCAGGAAATTTGGAGGGCAGCTACCTGGCCAATCACTGGAAGAGATTCCTATTTGTTTTCATTTCAAAAATAGGTGATCTAACAGAATGTGGAAATTACCATACATTATCATTAATGTCACCTGCAAGTAAAACCTTGCATGATTATTTTTAAATGGCTAGCAAAGAACTGGTAGAAAGTCAGGCTGGATTTGGAAGAAGTCACGGCACGAGGGATATCATCTCTGATATCAGGTGGATTTTGGCTGAAAGTAGAGAATACCACAAGAATGTCTATCTGTGTTTTATTGACTATGCAAAGGCATTTGACTATGTGCATCATAACAAATTATGGTTAACACTGAGAATGGGAATCCTGGAACACTTGTGCTATACCCAGACCAAGAAGTTGTACAAACAGAACAAGAGAACACTGCATGGTTTAAAACCAGGAAAGGTGTGCATCTAGGCTGTATCCTTTCTCCATACCTATGCAATCTGTATGCAGAACAAATCATTCAGGAAGCTGGACTTGATGAACAAGAATGCAGCGTCAAGATCAGATCAACAGCCTGCGTTATGCAGATGACACAACACTGCTTGCTGAAAAGTGAGGAGGACTTGCTGCAGAAGATCAAAGACTACAGCCTTCGATATGGATTCTATCTCAACATCAAGAGAATAAAAATCCTCCCCACTGGGCCAAGAGGCAATATCATGATAGCTGCAAAAGAGACAGAAATTGTCAATGGTTTGATTTTGTTTGGATCCACAGTCAACATCCTTGGCGGCAGCAGCCAAGAAAGAAAAAAATAAAAAACATATTGCATGGGGAAAGACTGTTGTCAAGGACTCTCTAAAGTCCTAAAGAGCAAGGATGTCAGTTTAAAGACTAAGGTATGCCTGATTAAAGTCAGAGTCTTAAAAAAAAGTTTGTTTTTTTTTAAAAAAGGTCATAGTCTTTGCAAGTCCTTACTATGTATCTGGGAGTTAGACAGTAAATAAAGATACAGAAGAAGAATCAATGCCACTGAGCCGTGGTGTTGGAGAAGAGTGCAGAACATCCCAGGAACTGCCCAAAGGACAAAATGTCTTGGAAAGGAGCAGCCAGATTGCTCTTTGGAGGCAAGTAGAGTGAAACTTTATCTCACTATAATTTGGGCGTGTTTGGAGGGGCCGGTCCATGAAGAAGGATATCATGCCTGGAAAGGTGAAGGGTCAGTGGAGGAAGAGAGATCCCCCTCTCAACTGAGAGAGTGACTGTTACAGCAGACTTGAGTACATCAAAGATGGTCAGGATGACATGGGGCAGGGCAGAGTTCAGATC